ATCTTAACTTTGATGATGATCAACAAAGGTTACTGGCAAATACTATGGTTAGCAAACTGAACACAAAACAGCTAGAGGCTTTCACACTCATTATTCTCTCTATCACACTCATGGAGGAACAGGCAAGACTTTTCTCTACAATGCAATCATTGCAAAATTAAAAAGTCTTTCCAGAATTGCTATAGTTGTTGCCTCATCTGGAATAGCAGCCACACTACTACCAAACGGCACAACTGCTCATTCAATGTTCAAGATTCCCCTTCATATAGACCATGCATCTACATGTTCCATAAAGAAAGGTACTCATTTAGCTAAGCTAATACGTGCAGCTTCATTGATTATTTGGGACGAAGTACCGATGACACATCGAAATGCATTTGAGGCTATAAGCAGGACGTTTTGTGATTTGATGGACATACCACTATCAGGTCCAAAACACAAGTTGTTTGGAGGAAAAACAGTAGTCTTTGGTGGTGATTTTAGACAGACTCTACCAGTAATTTCAGATTCAGGAAGGGAACAAACAGTTGATGGATCCATCACGAGGTCATCATTGTGGCCCTTTTTTAAGGTGCTCAAACTGTCAAGGAACATGAGGCTTAATGATTCACAAGATAATAGAAACCTGGTCGGCTGTGGAATGAACTTTGGTGAGTGGATTCTGGCGCTAGGAGATGGAAGGCTTCCAACAAAATCCTTTATGGCGAACACACCTTCAGATTGGATTGAGATACCACAAATACTCTTGATATATGCTGGAAAAAATCCAATCGAGTCAATCACAAATGACATATATGACGCATTTGAGGAACAACACATGAGCACAGATTATCTAAGTGGAAGGGCAATCGTTACTCCTACTAATGCAGTTGTGACTGAAGTGAATGACTTCATGTTGCAAAAAATTCCTGGACATTGCCGTTGCTACTACAGTTCAGACTCTATGCAACTTGATACTGAGGTACCTCAACTATTTGCTGAAACTTACCCAACAGAATTTTTGAATGCTCTTCAGTTCAATGGTGTTCCAGATCATGAAATAAGACTTAAGGTTCACACTCCAATCATGTTGCTGAGAAATTTGAGCCCACCAAACGGCCTATGCAACGGTACGAGGATATTGATTACGAAATTGGGGGAAAATATCATTGTTGGAAACAACATGGGAGGATCTTTTGACACAAAAGAGGTTGTTATACCACGAATAGTACTCAACGTAGAAGACAAACGCTGGCCCTTTATACTGAAGAGGAGGCAATTCCCAGTACGTTTATGTTATGGGATGACTATAAATAAGAGCCAAGGTCAAACGCTGGACAAGGTTGGAGTCTATTTGCCAAAACCAGTATTCAGTCATGGACAGCTTTATGTGGCAGCATCAAGAGTAAGATCTGCAGGTGGTTTGAGATTCTTGATTGAAAATGAAGAGGACATTCCAGCCAATTACACGAGAAACATTGTATATTCAGAAGCCTTCACAGATATTGCACCTGGTTAATTTTGCAAGCATCGAAGAAGCTCGAAGTGATTATTATGAACTCTCCCAACTTTTTGAATTTTACGCCTGGAAAAATTTGTTCTTCCAGTTCTTGCGTTGTTCTTAACAAGAGACACATTTTGTGTTTTTTATTTTGAAACTCAAAGCTAGAAAGCAGTCATGAGTTTTGATCAGTTAACATCGATTCGGACTATCCAGAGAGAACTTAGATAGAAAATCGATGAGCCCAACTGATACAACTTGACAGAACAATGATCGCAGGAGCGTATTGTAGCCTTTTCTGTAAAAAGGCCTGATTCAACAGTTAGAACCCATTGCATATCATACAGAGCCCAAACACGATATCAAGGCCCAAACAATCAATCCAAAAAGGACTTACCCTAAGTTAACCCTAGCTTACATAAACTACCGATTGTTTTTTATGCCTTCTAGAATCGGCCGCGCAGTCAAGATACAAAAAAAAAGGGAAACCAGGGTCTCGAAGAACTGGAAGCTTTCTTCTACCCAACAGATTTACAGTTGTATAGTACAACTGATACGTGAGATTCCGTGGACCCACACAAAATGGACCCGAACGAACTGAAAGGTAAATACATTGAATCTGGAAAGAAATCCAACAAACGCATCTCGATTCCTATGCGAGTTTTTTCCATTTATTATTTATCGATTCGTCTTTAATCGCGTTGCAGAGTCCATTGATTCAAGCATGTGCTTTCGGGGACTGCGTTTGGGAATAAACAATCGAACCGTTATAGCTAGACATATCGTTACATGGACTGAGTTCCGAGAAGTGCCTTTATCCACATGGAAGAAAAGGACACATCACATGCCCTGGCTTGACAAAAAGGTTTGACTCCAGATACCCCAACCATATTCATAATAATATTCGTCAGAGCATTTGATTCAGTGTTAAGACAAAAAAACTTGCCAATATACAAACCCTACACATCAATTAACCTACTGGCGAATGCTAAAAGATCAAAAACTCTTGACAACATATCTATCTACCGTTGACTTTACAGAACAAGTTGATCGAAGCTCAGGTTGAAGAAGAAGATGCAGATGAGGTTTTGAAGAAAATCAAGGTTGGCTGCCTGCATGAACTACAAGATATTGTAGCAGGTCCAGCAAGGTCAGTGCAACGCGTTGTCCATCGAGAGTTCCGCCTGCTCCTCACTTCAGATCAAATTAGGAGGCATATTGAAGAAGGAAATGGACCCCAGCAATTCCCAACAGGATCATACACAGCAGCCGATTATTCCATTGTGCCTCAAACATCAGAAGACTTTGACTGCCATTCAGGTAAATATATGTCTCTCTATCCATGATTAAGAACACGATTAAACAAAGCATAACAAACATTAAATCTGTAGATGTTACAGGATGTGTTAGAAGACTAACTCATCCAGAAACAATTAAAGAAAGGATTCAGAAATTCGACCTGGTCATACAAGATGTCTGGTATGCTCTTAAGATTGCACACTTTTTTTTACTTTGTAAAAATGTATAGTTAACACTTTGCTTTGCAATCAGTGGGGCAAAGGCTTATGTTGAATACAGTGGGCATGACATTGATGATTTTCAAAAGCATGCTCCAGCAATTGAGTCAAAGTTACCATTGATTGTGACAATCAAATCAGTTAGTAGAGTAACTCCTAGACATAACAGTAAGTATCAGCATGAATTTCGATCCACAATTGCAAGTAAGCTCATCATCCATTCTTATCAGGACTGCTGCAAGGATATCATGAACATGTGAGTTGCTGTATATGGGTTTACCCAACTGATTGGTTCAACTACTATCGAGTTAGTGATACTTACACATTTCTTTTCAACATGTAGCTTTCTTGCATTTCGCAAACCAGTTTACTTCATCGATGATGCTACTTGCAAAAAAAACTGGACACCTGCTGAGCAATCAACTGCAAAAGAAATCGTTGAGAGAGATAAAAGAAAGGATGGAGGACCTGTCAGATTTCACAGAGGTAAACGAACAAACACCAGCATTGACATCAGCTGTATATTTCCATATGTTTACCTGTATAATACATTTGACAGTTTTTGCAACAGGTTACTTACATGACATTGATTAACATTCCAAGGTTCATATACAGAAAAAGCATCTGCAAAATTCGTGGAGAGAACACAGGGTAAGCTTTTGACCATTCTCCCATGTTTACACATGGCATAATAATACTCTTTGTATAAACCTAACAAAAAGATCTTTATTGCAAGACTCACATACAAACTGGAAGGGAAATGTCGCCAAGGAGGATCTGAAATAGATGTGGTGTTTAAGCATGAAGCAGCTCTGTCGCTTATTCGTAAGTCACCGTCAGATTATCAGTTTCTGAAGAAGGACCAAATCATCGAATTGATCGCAAAGAACTGTAACAAAAAATTTGCTGCGGAATTGAACGTCGCATGGAAAAAAGTGGGGGACAGTGCAACTTCTGAAAACATTTTGTCCTGCTGTTTTCCGAATCTTCAGTCTCCGCCATGGAACTTTTATTAGTTTAGTAGATACATCGTGGAAAACTTGGCCACACTCCTAACTACATTCATGTTTATTCTGCAAAGCCAGTCAATCTTTTGCATAATGACCGCAGTTTTTATGTTTATGACAACATTTATGTCTATATTTAGAACATAACGATTATGGTTATAGATTATATTAAATCCCATTTAAATTATGACAGAAATAGTATCCCGCAGCGGAGCGCGGGTTGAATCTTAGTATATTGTAAAGAGAACAATGTAACATTTACTTTTGGTGAAATAAAATCGATCGTTTCTCTCTCTTACAACAGTAGTCGCGTTGAAAAGCGGCGATTGGGGTTGAGCCCTCGTACGTGCGCTGAAGGAACTCATCGTATGAGATGATTTTTTTGAACAGTTCTTCAAAGGAGGGAGGTGTGTCCCGAGCACGAACAATAGCAACAGTTTCTTTGAACTCAGACCCAAGACCATTCATGGTCCGAAGAAGTAGATCAAGATCATCAAAAGGAGCGCCGACAAAAGAGCAGCTTGATTTCAGAGAGATAAGCACGAAGAGAGAGGCTTCCGCTGGAGAAGGTGGAGAGTTTGTCTTTTAGACACAGAATATGGGACGGAGAACGAGAAACAAATATACGCTCGAGAGTGGTCCAAGCAGCTAGAGCAGTAGTGGCAACATCGATATGGGACATGAGAGACACTCTCTGACGGAGACGAGAATTGCATGGAAGATGAAGCGATCTTGGCGAGCCCATCAAGAGTAAGCAGCTGAGGTGCGATGGGAGGGAGGAACACTAGCTCGTTCCGTCGATATGCGATAGCAAATCAAATCCAAAATGAAGAAAAGTGAACTGCGATTTCCAAGAGGAATAGTTTGGCCCGGTGAGACGAACAGTGAGCTGGGATCCAACATTGAAGGAGACAATAGGAGGACCTCGATAGAGGATTTTTTTTTTTTTTTTTTTTGACAACCCTATTTACTCGTTAGAGGATTTGGGGGAGCTCTTGTACTATAAAATATTTATGAATGCTTGATTATTATTATTATTATTATTATTATTATTATTATGAGCTGTACACTTTTATATACATACAATGCAACGGGACAATAACAGAGAATGAGAGTTCATGGGAAAGTAGTTGCAATAGAGGAGTCGTGGAGGATAAACAAACGGGGTCGGTAACTCCTAATGCCCGCCCAATTGCCATCACTACTTTAAATCACCCTCCAGGATTGCGATTAGCCTTATAAAAGCAAAAGATTGACACACATGATAATCAATCATGTTACAGGTAAGTTTGGTCGAGGGTCAATCGTATTAGGGTTAGTTAAGTTGCGCTTTAGTCAGATCACAAAGCAATCAGGGGTTGGGTAGGACAAATTAAGGCCTTGTTTGCTTAATGGATTTCATTATGGATTTGGTACATAAAAACCAACCATCATGGACTTTGTACACAATCCATCGTTTGCTTGATGGGGACAAGTCCGTGGGGCCCACAGTTTTTTAGGGTGCAAATCTGTGGACCCAACCGACTTGGAAATTCCATCTCAAGAGGTGGGATTTGTATGAGTGTCTCAAGTCCATGATGGTTATTTACTATTTTATCCTCATTTTGTTTTGTTTCAAACAATAAATAAGATATAGTAAGGGTAGATAGGTAAATTCATAATGTATCCATAATTATAATTATGCAAAATCCATCATGAAATCTATCAAGCAAAGAATAGTTTTATCAAAAAACCAAATTGACCAATTCCATCATAAATCCTTAATTTTATAAAACCTAAGTTTTGACCAAATCCTTCATTTATCAAATCCATGAAGCAAACGAGCCCTAAGTATCATTGACTTTTCCGGTGGCTAATTGAGTTGATTGGATGGTTTAATCGAGTATGATTTTGTTTTAACATCTCTAGTAGGCAAGTCAATCACTTCATGCATTGATGTGCTGAAACGACTGTTATTCGAATATTGCGTAAAGATGAAAAAAACACTGGAAGATTCAAAATGCGGGGAAACTAGGCCAATGGAGTCGCAATATCCGTCGAATGAACACTGTAACATTTAGAGTTATGAAGAACTCAAACAAGCACCAAACGAAAAATTGAAACCCCCAAACCGGTGAACACTGTAACGCAACTTCTCCAGCTGCTACAGCTACTGTACTGATTGACAGAGAAACATTTCCGGGACAGTTCCGACACGTCCGCATGAAAGCCACAATATACCACTACTGGCTGTTGATATTGTCAACTTTTCAGGTGTTAAAAAGACTCGACTGGCAGCAGAAAATATCTACTGTGGGCGCGAAATGACATCCAAAGAGACGAAATGGTCTCATACTAGTATGAAACAACCGACTTTGGATTTGATGTCGCTGGCAACTGCGAGAAGGCAGTATCGCTTTCCTCGCACTCGTCAAAAGCTAATGGCGAACCACCGATTACAGGCTTTCTGCGGATCAGGGGAACAATTAAAAACAAGCACATAGTTAGGAAAGGTGAGAAGATGATGGACAACTCAAAAGGTTAGGTTCTAAGGAGTAAAAAGTTCGTTCAGATCACAGAGCCATATTTTGCTGGTCGGAAATGCGGATGAATCGATCACACAAGGCCAAAATGAGAAACGTACTTTTGTGCAACCAAGCTCTCTTCAGATAATGCTTTCTCCAACCTCTCTTCAAATGGCGTTGCATGCCAGCTGACCTTTTGATCCTGCGTAACAAAGAAGGCATTCCTTGGATAGAGCTCCTATAACACCAAAATAACTGAGACGGAAAGGGAGAATCCAGGCCATTAAAAGTAGAGTTACCTCCTTGTATTTATTAGTTGAATTTGGGATGCCATTCCCATCCCACCACTTTGGGGAAATTTCAGTAGGCTCTTCCTCATTCCAGTGAGCAGCAACCATCCCGATGATTGGTCTGTCTCCAGGAGTTTCCCGGATGTGGAACTTTTTGCTTACAACTGTTCCCGCATCAAGACTATCGCCTTTCTGATTGAATGTCTGCGACACCGGCTTCAGCCAAGTTGACAGGCTTGCTTCCAACTTCAGATCTTTTGAAGGAGAAGTTGCTCCTACTCCTGCTTCTCTGCTGGGGGTTGCACTTTCAGACTGCTCAACAGATTCCCACAGCTGATAGTTCGCATGGTCTTCTTTCAATTCCTGCCACTGGGAAACATTTTCAACAGGCTGCAAGACTGAACAAACATATTGGGACCTGACCCTAGCCTTTCCATATCCTGAAGTCGCTGCATTCGTTGGGTAGACAGTTCCCGGTGTTTGCATCTCACTGGAAAGTTTTAGTGGGGTTGGCCTGGTGGAAGGCTTAGTTACACTCACATCTCCAAAACGTTCCAAGTCCTTTATAATTTGGCCACCGCTTCCAGATGAAGAAGACCCTTTAGATGAGGCAGTATCAAAATCACATTCGAATCGGACAGACTTATTCCTTAGCTGAGTATTGGTGGCTGAAGGAAAAGGAGAAGCAGAAGATGCATCGTCAGTCTCTTGCTCATGAAGTTTCATCACCGTTTTCACGCTTGCTCCTCCACTGTTGTCTACAGAAGAGTTCCTTGCACCATTCTGTGCATGGGAGATGCAGCTGCAATATAGAAAGAGCACCAACCAATATACGAAAGGATGAAGGTAAGGATGTAAAGGGCACCACAGAAGAGAATACCAGCAACACAGTCCACATTTTGTTCCCAAATGAAATTATTATCATAGTAAGAAATTGACAGACTGCCATTTCATGAACCTAATAAAACAGGGCCACGGATAGCATGAGAGGAAAATAGAATGTTAAATGATGGACCTATACCATCCGAACCTAATAAACTTGGTATCACCACAGATTTAATGAATGACAACAAGCTCATAAGACAGTGTAATGTACCTGCTGGGTGCTTGATCTGAAGAAATTGAACACCTTGCCAACTCTTCACAACTCTTAATAGGAGTAGAGGACTCATCAGTCTGCATGTCGGCCAAAAGTTTCTTGTTGGATGTATTAGGCAGCCATGAATGGAACTCTGACTGCTCAGAACTATCATCAACAGGAGGTGAACTTTTGAGCTTCTCAGATGCTTTCCGGAATTCAACAGGAGTCTCAGGCAAAGTACCACAAGCTTTGAGAAATCTTGCCTACACAAATTGTTCTATGATCACTAAGATAATCTCTACAAGTAAAAACAGATGAAGTCATACCATCTCACTCATACAGGGAGAACAATTATTTCTAATCAATTAACTCTGAAGGGTGTATCTCCAGATGGAACAGGAATCCAGTTCAAGCAAGAAGCAAAAGAGAAGGATTAGGTTGACAACTTAGGACAAGCAAACCTTTACGAACGCCCCAAGAATAAATGAGAACGTAAAATCTAGTAATAGAATCTACTAAAAGAACCGCATAAGCGAAAGAAGAAACTCTGATGTCTAGCACCTAAACTTATTCGCACAGCTAATGACAATTATTCGAGTTGGATCTCCGCTCCCAAATGAGAAATTAGATAGATGTCTTATTCATTTAAGTATTTTGCAGGCAAATCTCAGTCCTGTGAGCATGCGGATCCTTGAAATGTAGCTCTGATACCATATGGTCACTACAACATTACTTTACACAAAAGCGACCTATCTCTGAAGAAGTTCATGTAAGCTGCCATTTGCGCAGAACTTGTCAACACGATCTAACGAACATGGTTTCACCTTGAAGAAGATTACTAGATGCATACCTCGTCCCTTAGCTCTTTCTGAGTCTGGGGAGATACCCAAGATAGATTTCCCTTGTTACCACTAGTAGCTGGAGAATCTTCTTCCTCTGTAGACAGATGCCAATATAAAAAAAAAAATTGAGTGAATACAACTCAACACGGTACCAAAACGCTAATAAGAAGATAGGGCCAAATGAGTACATATATACCTTCGGACAAGAACAATGCTGATAAACGGTTCTTAGACGCCATGGCTTCCTGATAGCCGCACAAAAAAAAAAACACAATCAGCCACAAAGCATTTCGAGATTCCACTCCAATTGCATTCAAGATACTGCGGGAAGCTAAACCCTAACAAACACCGCCGACGCATCACCCAAAGAAAGAGCAGGACGCCGCAACCTACTTTCCCCAGCAGGAAAACAGGTAGAGAGAGGGCATCACAGACTAAGAAGCTATCACGATTCTCCAAATTCAGTCACCAGTGAGTAAAATTCTGAGATCCTAGCATCGGCTAAAAGGAATTCGAAATCCAAAGCAGTGCATCGCACTAACCACAAGAGGCAAAATCCCGCGCAATGAACCGAAGACATTACAGAAAGCAGAAAGGGAACGAAAGAGAGAAAATAGAAGGAGCTCTTACAGTCGGTCGAGCAGAACGCGCCGGGGAGACGAGTTGAGGATTCTGGTGACCGGCGCTGCCGAGGCCGTCGTCCTTGACGCGGAAGCAGTCGAAGAAGCAGGCCATGGCCCTGGAAACGGAGAGATCTAGATATCCCAGCAGAGTTCGGCAAATGAAACCGATTTCAGGCTGCAACGGCAACGCGCATATCATATTATTATTACCCCCGTACTCAAGCCTTTCTCGAAGCCGTCAATCATTCACTCAGCAAGAGCGCTACTCAGGGTCCAGACTCCAGAGTGTGCGGTGAGAGAGAGAGAGAAAGAGAGAGTTGTTGGGTCGTTTTTCGAATTTTGAACCAACCGGACGAGGGAAAAATAAAGTTTTAACGCTTTTCAAAATTAGAGGAAAAAAATAGGACAAAAAAGGAAAAGCAGACAAATTTTGGGAATTTCCTACGCGGGCGCGTGTTCTTTTTTTTTGCTACTCGCTTGTATAGGATGGACACGTTTCGCTCCCATTCCGCAGAATTGACCGTTCGGTCCCTTCCCGTCTTGTTTTCGGGCGGAGGGAGAGTGTGGAACAGCCGACCGTATGTATGGAATTCCCGGAGACGAGACTGTTTTCGGGTTTCTTACTAATTTCTGAGGCATAACGTTTTGGGGCGCTTAATTTTTGCAATTAAACAATATCCTTTTACATCTATACTTTTCATTTGCATCAATCTTGGGATAATTAGCATAAAACGTCACAAAAATTAAACTTTAGACAAAATGGTTACAAAATTTCATTCTGGACGCATGACGAAATAACGAATTGGTCATTTCAGTTCATCTCCTTTGCATTTCTTTGAGGGATGACAAAAATATCTGTAACCGTAGATATCCGCCCGAATCCGACCTTGTTGGGTAGGGTAAAACCCGAACACGAAGAACTTTTAGCGGGTACAGGTAAAACCCGAACCCGAATATTGCGGGTAATGAGTGAACATGGTTTTCTCACTATCCAACCTAAACCCGCCCGATATACACAACATATATGTTGTCTAGAAAAAATTATTATTTTTCTCTAACATAACTTATATTTAGCATATAAATATAATATTTTCATGGAATTGTATTGCTTTAATGAATTTTCTTCATTCTAGTGACTTATTGTCATACTTTTCGTATGACGTGATGTGAGAATACATGTGAATATTAACATATTGGTTAGTGTTATAAAGAGAAACTATTACCTATAGATGGCCCCATAATATCAATCCCTATTAATAAACTTCATAGGGGCCTCCTAATTTTGTCTCTACTTTGAATTTATTTTACCTTTTACAAAAACGTGGATTCATTTATGGAATTGTCGAGGAATCTGTCAAATACTCACAATTCTATCCTTAACTTAACTGAGGTAGTTCACTGTTTTCCTCTATACTTGTTGTTCCTATGTGAAACTAAAAATGAGGGTGATCGGACTAAGAAAATATAGATAATCTTGGTCTCAAAGAAGTTTGATTTGTGAGTGTTATTGGATCCTCTAGTGCTTGATATTGCTTGGTCATTGAATGTGAACTATTTCGTACGAGATAAACCATGGTTCTTCCTTTCTGCTGAATGCCAACACCCTATCGAGGTGGCCCACTTATATTTATCCATCTGAGTTGTGACTCTACAACTAGATAAAATCAATTCAATGAGATCACTAGCTTGGTTTTGGCTTGTCCTCTTCTGATTTTTGTGCTTGGAGATTTCAATTGTATTCTCCAAATGTAAGAGAAAACAGGAGGTAGGACTCTTAGTTTCTCGACCCTTGACCTGCAGCTATGAGACTTCTATATCCACTATGGTTTACAAGACCTAGGGTTTTATGGGTCTAAATTCACTTTGACTAATCGACAATTAGTTGTGGATCATGTGATGGTTAGATTAGATAGCGTCTAGGATCCGAATCGATCCTTAGCTCTTGGCCAGACATCGAATAACACATCCCACCGGCTCAGGATCCGATCACCACATGAATATCTTGCATCTCCAAACTCAAGTCAAACTAGGCCAAATTTGTTCCAGCCGCTAGGCCAACAACCCTTGCCATTGATGTGGTTTGTGAGGCACCTTTAGTTGATTGAGAAGTGATTTAAGGATTTAGAAAGTCACTTATATATCCTCAACCTAGATCTAAGAGGAAATCTATTGGAAAGAAAAATCAAGAATGAGGTTGCTCTTCCATATTCGCCCGTCCGATAGATCATCTTTTTTCTTCTCCACATCATTGGCGGCTGGTATCCAACTGACGTCAATTGAGGAGATGATGGTTTGAGGGGCGATGACTGCAACAATAATGGTTTTCTCCACCGTCACGTCAACAAGGAGGGTTGGATCGAAAAGAGGAAAACAGACTGTTGGAGAGGAAGAGGAAGTGGCGGCGACAATGGGGACTTGAGAACCACTAAGCGTTGCCCCGCACGTTGTTGGCAATGGGATGAGACTTTTGTTTTGTGGCCGGAGTGGAAGTGGCGGGTGCATAGGGAGACTGAATTTTAGAAATTGGGGAAGAAGTTTCAAGGTTCAGATTGTTGAAGGAGATAAAGGTTGTTGACCACTGGGTTCTTTACAAATTTCCCTAATTTACTTTCAGACTTCTTAGATAAATAACTAAAATTTGGTTGATGTGGTACACATGTTTCGAACACGCGTCATAAATTGAGTTTATCACTAGCGGGAACCTGAGTTGACCGCTAGTGTTGACGGTCATCTCAAACATTGAGTCAAAGTTGTCTATTATGATGAAAGTTGTGACTATTTTGTCATTATTAAACCGACTCCAATGAAGACTCTGTAGGGAGGAACTGGACGCGCCGGTGGAAATGGCTTAATTTAACTGAACGGCTAAACGTCTCCCTAATTTTACTTTCGTCGCCCTAACTTTAAATATAGAATTACTAAATTAACCTTAAAGGAACAAATAAAATTAAAAAAAATCCCTAATCTCCCTCACCGAGAACCGCATCGCCCTTCAAAGCACTCCATATCCAATCCGCTTGATTGTCGATAATGGTGTTGAGATAACAAAACGGCTTATTTGGTGTACGCTCCAGCAATTGCTTCAGCGCCCGCGTAATATCTGCGAGAAGTTGTATGAGTCCCTATCACGGAAAGATGAACGGAACACTAGAATCGGAGTTCAAGGAGCAAGCAGGGATGTAGGTGTTCTTGGCGGTGAACATCAAGTTGAAAACATGAGCAGTCTCCTTGCAGGTGATCATGACCAAGCTGTAGCCACGGTGGCATCCATAGCGATGAGCCTCAGACTCAGAATCACAGCCACAACCTTTTCCTAATCTTCGCCATGGCTGCAAAGACACACCTTTTGTGAACGATTGTTATTCTCTAATAGGAAATTAAAAGCTTTTGAAGACCCAATTATTGAGATAATATAGATAGAAAAACAACAAACGAATCTTTCATTTATGTGGCGATGTGGCAGAGGAATGGGTTGGAGAAGAAGCTCTGTTTCTCCGGGAACGAGTATTTGTTGGGGATTGAATTCACCTCTTTCTGATAGAGTATAGAACAAAAGTGTAATTTTTGTTGTTTTATGAGTAGATAATGTAATAGTAGTTTATATAGGTACTAGGTGGTAATTTGGTGAACATATAAAAGCTGGACAGTGTAAATGAACAACTACCGTTTTTGATGCAATATTCATTTTTCCTACTTCCGCAATTGTGAAATCTGGCATGGTATCAGAGCTAAACTAGGGTTTTAGATATTCTTGATTACTTTCGTTTCTCTCTTCTTGCGCCGCGATGGCGATTCCTCTTCCGGCGAATCTTGATCCCAATCATCCGTATTATCTCAACCAGAACGAGAATCCGGCGCTGGTGCTTGTGTCGACGCTTCTTCATGGCGGTAATTACCAGTCCTGGGCGCGATCGATGAGGATGGCGTTGCTCGCGAAGAACAAGGTCGCATTCGTCAATGGTGAAGCTCCGCGTCCTGGAGATGCTGATCCGTTGCTTCCAGCTTGGGAGCGTGCCAATCTGATGGTCCTAGGCTGGCTTTATCGTTCTCTGGAGCCGACGATTGCTCAGTCGATTCTTTATCAATCACATTCCTTCTCCATTAACACATAACAAAGCTCCCTTAGAACTTTTGCAGGGTAATCCTCTTGATTTGGCTTATCTTAGGGTCTTCGGTTGCTTAGCATATGCTAGTACTTTGAGTCACAATCGTCCTAAGCTTGAACCTAGGGCTACTGCTTGTGTTTTCATTGGTTATCCATTTGGTACCAAGGGCTTCAAACTTATTGACTTAAACACACATCGACAGATTGAGTCTAGGGATGTTGTGTTCCATGAGCATATTTTTCCTTTCAAACATTCCTCTTCTCCCCCAGATTCTGAGTTACATCTTCCTAACCTTGACATTCTCATAGATTCCTCAGCTTCTTCTGCTTCCATTCCTGTTCCTCCTTCTGGAATATTGCAGGTCACTGATCATGTTCCTATTCCTCTGCAAATACCCAACATTAATGGTCCAGCTCCTGCTGGCAGGCCACATAGACAAACAAAGCCTCCTGCTAGACTCAAGGACTTTGTTTGTCACTCCACTGTGGCTACATCTTCTAATGTCACTTATCCTCTGTCCAATGTTCTTTCTTATGATAAACTAGCTGTTGGTTACAAGAACTTTGTCATGAGTGTGTCTAAGGAAGTTGAACCTACTTGTTATGAAGAAGCCATCAAAGATCCACGTTGGGTTGCAGCCATGCAAGCTGAACTTGATGCCTTAGCAGCTACTAATACTTGGAGGGTAACTTCTTTGCCTTCTTCTCATAAAGCTATAGGATTCAAATGGGTTTATCGTATTAAATACAAAGCTGATGGAACTGTAGAAAGGTTTAAAGCTAGATTAGTGGCTAAAGGTTATACACAAACTAAGGGCATAGATTATCTAGAAACTTTCTCTCCTGTTGCTAAAATGACCACTGTTCGTGCCTTGTTAGCTTTAGCGTCTATCAAGGGATGGGCTATTGAACAATTAGATGTTAATAACGCTTTTTTGCATGGGGATCTTTTGGAAGAAGTTTACATGAAAATTCCACAAGGATTAACTCCTCCTTCTGATATTAAAAGACCTGTTTGTAGACTAACTAAGTCCCTCTATGGTCTAAAACAAGCAAGTCGACAGTGGAATTCAAAACTGACTGAGTTTTTATTATCCAATGGATTTATTCAATCTAAGGCAGATCATACTCTGTTTACCAAACAATCTGGTTCCAAATTTTTGGCTCTATTAGTTTATGTTGATGATGTGATATTAACCGGTGATGATCTTTTAGAAATGAAATCTATTAAGTCTAAACTTGATGATACTTTCAAGATTAAAGACTTAGGACCACTTCGGTATTTTCTAGGATTAGAAATTGCTAGGAATTCTTCTGGTCTAACCCTCTGTCAAAGAAAATTTGCCTTAGATATTATTGCAGATGTTGGTTTGCTTGCTGGAAAGGGTGCAGATTCTCCCTCTGAACCTAATATTCGGTATTCAACAAGTTCTGGTGATCCACTCCCTGACCCTTCTCCTTTTAGACGATTAATTGGCAGGCTGTTATATTTATGTACTACACGACCAGATATACAGTATGCTGTTCATCACTTAACTCAATTTGTAGCTAATCCTACTGATTTACATATGAATGCTGCACATAGATTAGTTAGATATATTAGAAATAATCCAGGTAAAGGTTTGTTTTTCCCATCAGATTCTGCTATTGGTTAGTCTGCTTTCTCGGACTCCGATTGGGCTGGTTGTCCTGATACTCGCAGGTCTACCACTGGATTTTGTGTATTCCTTGGTAAATCATTAATTAGCTGGCGTTCCAAGAAACAAACAACAATCAGCCGCTCTTCTGCTGAAGCAGAATATAGAGCAATGGCAGATTTGTCTTGTGAATTGCAATGGTTAAGCTACTTGTTTAGTGATCTTTGTGTTAAGTTTCCTGATTCATTTGCCTTATACTGTGATAACACTTCTGCTATAAGAATTGCAGAAAATCCAGTGGCACACGAGCGCACCAAGCACATTGAGATCGACTGCCATCTCATTTGGGAGAAGATTGCTGCTAGACTTATCAAGTTGTTCTACATATCCACTGAAAGCCAGCTAGCCGATGTTCTTACCAAATCACTGCCGATTCATAGGTTTGTAGAATTGATAGGCAAGCTGGGCATGTGTGATATACATGCTCCAGCTTGAGAGGGGGGGGGGGTGATAGAGTATAGAACAAAAGTGTAATTTTTGTTGTTTTATGGGTAGATAATGTAATAGTAGTTTATATAGGTACTAGGTGGTAATTTGGTGAACATATAAAAGCTGGACAGTGTAAATGAACAACTACCGTTTTTGATGCAATATTCATTTTTCCTACTTCCGCAATTGTGAAATCTGGCACTTTCTGCTACCGGAAACAGAGAGCTGGAGACTTGCAGCGGTAAATTATTTTTAACTAGAAAGAGGATAAAGAAGTAATTTTGATGTTTAAGTTAGGGCGATTATAAAAAATTAGGGCGATAATTAGCAAGTCTCTAATTTAATTGCTTTCTTAATTATCTTAATTACCATCTTCATGGTTCCCATGACTAATTTATAATAGCTTTTATTTTACCCCTAATCACCATTTTCGACCATATGGGTATAATTGATCTCTTTTAGTAATCCAATTAATTTCCTATTTATAATGACATCTTTTATCATTATTCATTTTAATTTTTTTCTTGCCAATTCGGTTCTTCTCTTCTCTTCGTTTCATGTTTTGGTGTCTTTTTTTGTTTGTTTTAATTATGGTATCCAGGTTTATATTACCATTTCCAATTCCCTTTTTATTAAGTGCAGGGTATAAATGGATTCAGTCATTTGTTTCTAATTATTTCCTACAGGGTTGTTAATTATTTCCTCTAGAGTCTAATCATCAATCATTTTTTGCGAAAAAAATCGGTCTCGGAATTTAGAAAAAATTATATCATAAAATTTGTATTTATAAATGATGACGAATTATACCAAAATTAACATGAACAAATTAGATTAAGATGATCATAAATATATTCTTAAGTAAAGAAAAAAAACTAAAAAAAGGGATGAAAAATGATTAAAATGGAGAAAAAACTAGCATTGAAGTTGGTCTTAATAGTTGGAGATATAGTTGTCCATTTATGAAAATGGAGATAGTCACCAAATTTGGGACTAGCATTGAAGTTGGTCTTAATAGTTGGGCTATAGTTGTTTATTTATGTAAATTTAAGGTCATCAAACATTATATACCCAAAATTTTAAACCTATTATTTATCCTCGTTTTTTATATATATTTTAAGATGCACCAAAAATTAGAAACACACAATGATACTAAACGAGGAGTTCAAGATAGGGTGTATAAACAAACTCTATATATCTTTCAAAACCTCTGTCTTCTCTCTACTCTTCTCTTTCGACAGTTTCCAAAGGGTGCCGTCGACATCTTAGGATGTCCGGCGACAACTTAAAATATATGCGATGCATGCTAAAATTTAGATTCATAGTTCATGTTCCTTACTTGATTACACAATTTTTTCGCATTGTGAACATGTTGCCATGCCCTTTTCATGCATATACAGGGTCGACCTCAACCACTCTTTTTGCTCAAATTAAACTATGGATTACTTCATTTTGATCATTACTATAATTTCATAGTTCAACTTTCCTCTTTGCAATCACTGAACCATGTTTTTCATCCCCCCATTTTCGCCTATGAACACACTGTTTTTTACCAAGTGTGGGAGAATTTTTCGTTTGCAAATTTCGGATCATTCGGGATAACAAACTTATCTTTTGGCTTGTTTTTCACTGTGTGGTTTGGTTGTCTGGATGTTGTCCCTTTTTGCAGGAGGTAGAAACCCAACAACCACTCGCTCTCGTCTCGTCTCTACTCTGTCCTCCCAAATTGCCTCCTCCCTCCGCTGGAGTTCGATCGGTGCCTCTCCTGCATCTCAATGCTACAAAGTCCACGACATCTTTGTGATTTTTCTTGTTGCTTTTTATGAATTATATTTTGTTATATATTTCATACAATACAATTTACACACTATGTTTGGCAACAAGGGGGTGCAGATTCGAGGGGTAAATTGAAGGAGGTGCAAATTGGTGGGGGTGTAAGTGGAGGGGTAAATTGTTGTTTAGATCAAAAAGTAGAAGGTGCAAATAAAGTGAAAAGTGAGTAATATATTATTATAAAATAGATTTATCAAATTTATAAAATATTATCACAAAATAATAAAATAAATAATAATAAGTGTACGTTAATAAAATAATTATTATCTAATAATAGTGAAATAATAATTAATTATAACAACTGTAGTAATCATTGATCGAGCGACCTTGAAGCCTAACTCGTAACTGGTCATACTACATGTTTCTAGTGTATAATTAACTTTACATTGAATATGGTCAAACTTAGTCAAACAAGTTCAAATCTGTAAGTTTTAACTATTTAGTTAAGTAAACTAAGTCAACCGAACCGTTCCCCGCTACTTTTTTCTATAAGCACTTCTTATCTCTAATTTTCAGGTTTCAACACAAATTCAAGTCAACCAAGAGATCTCGATTTGACTAGATGAGCATTGATAAACTTGCTTTCGGAGTCAAATGGTCAACCCCGAATAAATATACATTAATGTTAACTATAAGAAAAGAAATTGATGATATTAATTATTATATAATTATAAAACAATTAGAAAAATTCCCCCTGTCTCCTCCCCTCTCCCTTCCTTTTTTTTTCTTCCTTCCTTCCCCTGCACCCCCATTTGGGTAAGACGAAATATCCATTTTGCACCTCATTTTGCACCCCGCTATTGTTACAAATGAACCAAACAGGTGCAAATGTGTTGGAAACTGTTTTACCCTTATATTTGCATCTCCTCCCATTTGCACCTCTTCCCAAACAGAGTGACAGTGTAATTTTTAACTCACTGCGAAGCGCAAGCCAGCGGGCCAATATCTGAGAACATTCTTTCATTATGGTGGGCCCCTTCCATTAATCTCCTTTTTCCTTTTTTGTCAATCATTTTTTATTTATACTTCTTTTTCTTTTCTTTTGTGAGTAATTTCATATCTCTATTTGTTCATATCTCTTTTTTCTTTCACCTATAATATTCTATCTCCTAATATCCGTATTTTTTGTTGTTCTGGTGCTGAATCGACTAATCGTTTGTATTTGGTTTTTCATCTTTAGTAATTTCTTTCTCGCTCGAACTCTAATAGGAAAATCACGAAATCTTCTAATATGGTTACCATTCATTAAGCGTTTTGTTGTTGTGTTGAAATCGACATCTTTGTTCTTATTTGGTTTTACATATCTTATTTATCTCTTTCTCGCTATCCATTAAAATGGTGAGAGTGACATCGAAACCAACAAAACCAACTGATACATTCTTTCGTCTTTTTCTCTTTGTTAAATTCCATTTTAAAAGCAGAGATTTCGTAAATTCTTTAATTAATAGATGTTGAACTCAAAATATTTAGATCGTCGTCTACTAATTCATAAATTCATTGGACAACAAGTGCAAATTACTACGAACCTCTCCCACAATGATTTTTCTTGCCGTTCTTAGAGTTACGTTGCATGAGTTACATGTTATTAATTATTTTACAACCGTACATTTATAGTGCTATCTTCCACTAGCCGTGAAGTGAAGCGTAAGCAACTAGTAGTAAATAAAGGGTTACCATGGATTAAAATACCGTATCGGTCGTTCGACCTATAAAACCTCCTACTGAAAGCAAAACCGGTAAACGGTATTTAGCAGTATAATACAGTCGAACCATGCTTAAACTATGATTTTAGTATAAAATATTCTACCGTTGACTTTTTCGGCTCTACAATGAGTAACCAAATCTGGACCCTTCTTTTAAGTGGCTGCAAATCTAAGGGTGGAGAATTAAAGGAATCCGAATTTCTTTTCTCTAGTTTTTTTAATTGGATCATATCTTCTTCATTCTAACTAGGATTTCAATTTTTTTTTTTGCACAGATGGAACGAGTTCGTTGTGCTCTACAAAATGATATCCATTTTCAATATTTTTTGAGAATTTTTTTTTTCATCCCTCTCGTTACCAACTCCATACCATATGGTATCTCCTTCGTTGTTTAGTCATTTTCGGAAATTTTTGCACAAAAGGAACGATTTAATCATGATCTATTGGATTTCAAAATTTTATGGGGGAAAAAATTTCATACCTCTCGTTACCAACTTCATACCATACTATACCACCTTGGTACGAGGTGGTATTTTTCATACCAAATGGTATGCTGGTATTTAATACCAGTCAATACCATATGGTATTAACTGGTAATAACTGGCAAATTTTTTTTGTTTAAAAAAATATCGAAGTAGATATCATTTTGAATCATTACCAACTCCATACCATACTATACCATATCATTTTGAATCATCCGTTAAAGATTAAGGGAAAGAAAATTAATGATTTTTCCAGAAGAGAGAAAAAGACGCTGATGTAACAGATTCTTAATGGGTTACGCATGAAGTTACTCACCACAAGATTGGTCACCAAATCTGTCCCACTTTTTCAGTACCAACGTATCTCAATCCTAGTGATGCATAAGATAATTATGCAGGCAGGCATTATCACATAACTAATCGTCCACGTTTGCTTGCAAAAACAAGAAACACACTTATAGGCTATAGGCTATAGGCTATAAGCAACAGACAACGGGGAGGGCAGAGACGAAAAGGAAAGCAGGGATTTCTTCTTCGCGCACATTTTGCAGCAAAGGAAAGGAGGGAGGAAGCGAAGCTAATGAAAGAAGCTCAGGAGTTCGTTTGGATGGGCGCGATCCCGCTGCAGATTCATCTCCACGAATCTGAAGTGACCACAGTGCCGCCTCCTCCCCCTGCCCTAATCTTAGCTCCTCGGATTGGCTATTTGCCTTTGCTCCTCCCTCTAATCAAGCCTTACTTCTCTTCTACTCTCCCTCCCGGCGTTGACACTGTCTGGTTCGAATACAAAGGATTGCCTCTCAAATGGTCAGTTCCGTCCTCTGCAGATTCTCCTTCTTGCCGCTTTCTCTAGCTGATAGATGTTTCTCCATTAACGGCGTTCTTTTCCAGGTACATTCCCACTGGTGTTTTGTTTGACCTTCTCTGTGCTGAACCCGAAAGACCTTGGAATTTGACGGTAGTAGAAAGCTTCTGATTGGGAAATTGATGCACACCTGCTGTGCTGACAGTTTCTTTCCCCCTTGTTGTTTGTTCTTTATTTTGTTACTACTGGAATTTGCAGCGGCGAAGTGACGGTTGGGATGGATAGTTTTGATTCTCTTGTGCCTTCCTGCAGATCCATTTTAGAGGATATCCGAGTCATTTGTTGATTCCTTGTGAAGGTGAAGACTCTGTGAAGTGGAACTTTATCAATTCGTTGAAAGAGGTTCGTGCCCGACTATTCTGTGTCTTGGCCCTCCAGTTGAGCTTTTGTGATCCTGCATCCGTCCATGATCATACTTAGTTTTGGAAACGTTCACCAGCAAAGTGCTTGATTATTTGTTTGTGATGCTTATGAACTCTATAATGCAAGGTTGGAAGTATGTGATCTTACTAGTAGTAGCCTCCAGAACATACTCATGGTCATGGATCCCAACGCGGAAACATGGACCTTTATGGCCGTAGTATAGGGCTTTTATATGGACAATGAATGGTCGATTGAACTGCAATTTTACCTGTATGTATGAGCTTCAGATCCCATTAAATGCCCAGTGGAATGGCCTTAGCTGGTGATGTTTAGTCGTTCCTTTCAGCCCTCTGTCTGGTTGGTTGCTCACTTGTAATGTCCTCGTATTGTATTGCTGATCGAGAAGGATGTCTCACTGACGAATCTCTCAGTTTTCTATATTCTAACCTATTTGGATTTTAATTTCTTAATGTTAAATGGAAAACTGCTGATTACTTTATTTGCAGGCAGATTACATAATTAATGGGAACTGCAAGAATGTAATGCATATGTCTCAGTCTGATCAGCTGGAGCTCTGGAACTCTGTAGTGAACGGTATATTCTAGCTTTAATTACTGTTGCACTTCCTAACCTACCTTCTCTGACCGCGCAATGTTCATGTTACTTTTCTGCTGCATGTCTCGTGCAACTTGTTTTAGATCAGTGGTGCAACTCACTGATAGTAGGATCAGGGATGCTAGCAATTTTTCAGAAGATTTTTATATTCTGTTCACTGTTCTCAATCTTAGCATGCTGAACTGGTAGGACACTATGTAAATTGTGAACTACCTTCAGAGACATGACAGCAAGATGAACACAAGAAACTCTTTTTTTCTTTTTTTTCAAACACATGAATGAACATCATGTCACTAACTTTGAAACGTTAGTTAAGTGACTAAATCCCCCGATTTTTTCTTTACGATTCGAAAATGTCAAATGGGCTGAAATTAGACAGCAAACTGATGGGTCCTATCCTCTTAACAGTTTCTTTTCCTATCATCTTTGAAATGCTGTCCTGAAATCACTATTGGATTCTCCTAAAATATTAGGGATTTTCCCCTCCAAAGCACAATGCATGTTTGTAATTGGGGGAAAAGGGGACCAACTTTCTTCATTTGAAGTGCAAGCTGGGTGTTCATTATTCGATATTCGGTCAGTTCATCTGGTAGGTGTATGGGAACCTTGCCGTTTCTCTCTACCAATTAAAAGCCCAATATCATAACGCACAAATTCCAGAAGTTTCTGAGGCTTCTGGTTGTGTGTACGTCTGTAAAATGTTCCGCCAGTCTGATTCAACCTCTGTTCAGAATTCACCAGATACAACCGTTGCAGGGTTTAGGAACTATTATTTAACATAGTTCCATTCAACGTTGCTAATTTGACTATGAACAATTTGTATACGAAAGGCATATGCAACAATCTGTTGTACATCTGTTAGTGAAAATCCTGATTATTTATGCATGACCAACCTTTTTGGAGGGATGGGGCTCAGTTCTCAATTGTTTGGTTTTCAATACTTGGTAATTGTTCTCTATTGATTCCTGTTAGTAGTCATTGCCAATTCTGAATGTTCACTACTACAAGTCAAAGCGAAAAGTGAGTGTTTACCTTTGTCTTGTTTCTAAATTTAAGAAAGCTGATCATATATGCAGCTAATCTGGAGGCATTCATTCGGTCATCCTCCAAACTAAAATCTGGAACGATTGAGGATGACTATGCATCCAAGTCAAGTTCGTCCTCACAAAAATCGCAAAAGATGATTGGTGAGGCAGATACAAGCGTGCAGACAAAGACAGGTTAGCTGGTTTGGTTGTATATTTAGTTTTCTTCCTTCATTGCCTGTATATAGTAGACACCATTTTGGTTTTGGGTTTTAACTTTCTTCACAGCATTTTACGTGTTAATATTAGTTACAAGTGAACTTCAATCTCATTTGACTTGGTGCTCTTCTGACATCTAAATTACTCATGTGATACACAAATGGTAATTTAGATGTGATACACTATATAGCAGATGTGATATTTGCCTTCTCCATGCCTTATCCATGTGGATGTTGGTTATTCATACTTCATAAGTATCTGTTTCTTCAGTAGCGTGTAGTCAAGATTGTTGTAAGCATCTCATCTGTTGCTCCATGTCAGTTAAAGGATACATATTGTCTCATGATATCTTTTTCCTTAATGCTTGACGTCACCCATTTGATTATCAATTTCATGGATGGTATTAGGTAAAGTTCCAGTTCGTTTATATGTCTGGAATGTGAGTGCGGACTTTGGAGACATGGAAGATGCACCTCCAATTGATAGTTGGGACAGGATTTCTTATGTTAATCGGCCACTTGAGATCCACAGAGAAGAAGGCAAGTAACACTTATGGTTTTGATTGTCCTATCTATTTCATGTTGCAATGAGCAATATATCTACTTATATTTCACACATGACATGCGGGCTGTTAAGCAGTCCTGCTTCACAAAGTTAACCCACCTAGAGATTTTAATGGAAGGGATGTTCATGGTTAATTATGCTTCCCAGCCTTCCAATCCTGATACTTCATTTGACTGAAGAAGGGAAGATTAAGTCTCGCCACAAAATTTTATCATAATGCAAAGTTAATGGCATGCGTTCGTGCTTTAAATGCTTGTAATGCGTCTCTTTTACTCTTTGTTTGTGTGCGGGTTTCTCTGCTTGATGCAACCTGCTTACTGATTGTTAAAATCTCTCTGACACTGCAGGTAAATGCTTCACATTGCATGATGCTATTAAAACCCTTCTCCCAGAATTGTTTGGCAAGAAGAGGAAACCTAGTGAAGGTGAAAATGATGAACAAAGCTTTGGGTCAGAAGAAGAAACCAAGAACAATCGAATGACAGAAGAAGGGGAAGGAAATTTAAGTCTGCCATTGGAAACTGTGAGCACAGCGGACGACGACCCTGAAATTAAGCTCCTCCGGATTCAAGGGATTGAACCAAAATTGGAAACACCAATTTCTTGGGTAGCAAACCACTTGAGGCATCCCGAAAATTTTCTTCACGTCTGTGTATATGTCAAAATCCCTTCTGCAAAGTCTCTTTAAAGGTCTTATAGCAAGTGTCTCTTTTGGGAGCTGGGGAAGGTATCCATTGTACATTGTGCAGAAACGAAGGTATCCATTGAGGAAGCTTTTTTATTTTTTGGGGAGGAAGGTTGTTTTGAGGCGAATTGAATTTTAATTGTCCATTAGTTAGATTAGAAAAATGTACGATGTCGTTATTTGTTGGGCTAATACCACTACAATACCTGAACTATCGCGAAAATGCCATTTGTGTCCTATTGTTTTCAATATTCCATCTGTATCCTGAACTATGATACTTTGTGTCATTTGTATCCGGTCAATTTCGTTGACTATTAAAGATAACGGTTCACCAAACGGTGGTCAATGCGAAATTGACTTTTGTTGACGTGGCAAAAATGTGGCTGCCACATAGATGCTAAGTCACTGACCTCATTTTTTTAAATTCAAATTAAATAAAAATTGAGTTAAAATTCAAAAAAAAAAAAAAAACGGTAAATTCAATTATAGTATTGAACAAACTAAAATTAAAAAAAAGGAAATAGAACTCCATTGGCGGTGCTTCCAGATCTGCTTCTAAGGAAGAACACGGTGATGGAGACCTACATTTTCGGCCCAACAAATGGCCTTTGTTCACCGGCACTAGCACCTCCATGCCCACATCTATAGGTGTCAATCGGGCGGGTTCGGGCAGGGTTCAATCGGGTTCGGATAGGGTTGCGGGTTAGTCGGGTTGCGGGTTCATCGGGTTCGGGTTCAAACGGGTTGCGGGTTAGTCGGGTTGCGGGCAAATTGGGTTGCGGGTTCATTGGGTTTGGGGTCGGGCGCGTTGCGGGCAGGTCGGGTTTCGGGTTGTTCGGGCCAGCGCATCAAGTAACTTAACTCATTACTCATTACCAACTTACACATTTTATTACACTAATTTAAAATATTTTCTCAACTTTTTAACCAATTTATTTCTACCTCGTATATATATACTTTATTTTTTTGAAAAAAACTAGTCAAAATGTTAAATCAATTTGTACGACTTGCAAACTTGTTATGTAATTAATCATAATTGGTAAAGTATTATAGCTAATAGTAACGGTGATATCAATATTTGCAACCAAAAGACACCGTTAATTGTTTATTTGATATTTTAGTATTAATTCAGTAGTAATTGGATTAAAGTATCTCGTTTAGTATAACCATGCAAATATGGTATTTGGCGTGTGGTATTTGGCAAAAGCATAGTGATAAAAGGAGTTATTTCAAAATAACTCATTGCCCAAATAACTTTAGTAAACTGTTGCCAAACGAGTTATTTGTAAAATTGTTCGAATTATCCTAAAAATTGAACCATTAAAGATTAGCTATCAAATTTAGTAAAATTATTGTGACTTCAATCATAACTTACTCAATAGCATATATCCTATACACTTAGCTTTACCCTCAATCAACAATATTAAGTTAGTATATGTTGTTGATTGTATACCCTAAACCATCAATACATTATACACTAACCACATAACCTATACCCTAACCATATGTCATTGAGTTGTGATTTTGCTAGTATAGTTAATTTAAAAGTGAAATTCATACTTTGATTTTCAAAACATAGATAAAAAGTGATGTTTGCTAATTGTTATACCCTAACCATATACCTATACTTTACACCACATACCTTGTACCCTAACCACGTACCATAAACATAAATTGAAAAGGGATCTCCTGCCGTTAAAGACTTAAAATGACTTCAAGTGAACATATGTTAATAAAAAACTTAGAACCGTCAAAACCATCAATATCTTATACCCTAACCATATACACCCTAAACCATATGTACCTTATACCCTAACCATATACTTTATATCCTAAACAACGAACCGTCAAAGATGACTTATCAAGTTTAGTATAAATTGTTGTAACTAATGGTTAATTTATTTATTAGCCCATAAAAAATTACATACATATATGCATATTAGCCTTCAAAGCATATAAGAATAATTTAACTAGTCATGCCCTCCATATAAAAGTTAAAGATTCATATTTCAAAAGCTAAAATTATGAAAAACCAAAAAATTGAAAACACCAAATTTGTTTCTTTCTTTCTTTTCACAAAAATACTAAAATTTCCCTCATTCTTTTTCCTTCCGTACATTAGAAAAACTCAATTTTCCCTCCTCTTTCTCTTCCATAAAATTGAAAGAACCAAATTACCCTCTTCCTTCCTTCTACAAAAAGTTGAAAAGTCAAAAGTTTCCCTCCTTATTTCTCTTTCATAATAAAAAAAATCAAACTTTCCCACTTCTTTCTCTTCCCACATATCAAAACCACCAAAATTCTCACTTGTTTCTTTTCTAAAAAATTCAAAAAACCAAATTTCCCTCTTCTTTCTCTTCCCAAAACTTGAATACACCAAAATTTTCCTCTTCTTTGAAAAACATCAAATTACCAAATACATTACTTTACTTTATTTATATTTTATTGAATAGTTAAACTAACCAAAATTTAAATTTATATATTATATTAATATTGTCATGATCTCAAGTTACCTTCATGTTTCAATTTTTGTAATTTTCTTAAAATACGTTATATCAAGTGAGTTTCATATTTTTAAAATTTCTTATACGAAATGAAAAAATAATTTTACTTAAGTTTAGAATGAAAAACTTTATTTTGAAAAACTATGTATTGTATATTTTTATAATTATTCAAGTGGATTAGATGAAATTCGGGTTGAGTCGGTCGGGTTACGGGTTAGTCGGGTTTGGGTCAATCGGGTTCGGGTTAATCGGGTTGCGGGTCAATTGGGTTCGGGTTATTCGGGTTGCGGGTTAGTCGGGTTGCGGGTTAGTTGGGTTGCGAGTCAATCGGGTTGCGGATCGGGCGGGTTACGGGTTGTTGACTTTTAGTCAATTCGGGTTGCGGTTGGGTTGCGGGTCGGGTTGATCGGGCGGGTTAATCGGGTCGGGCAATGTTTTGACACCTATACCCACATCCTCTCCTTCCTTCTCTTTCCCATCTCTCCGCACCTCTTCCCGACGAGAATTCGGGAAGGCCTTCTAAAACCCAAATCGTCCATCACACAGGGTGGCGCCCTCGACTGCTGGTCCCCTAACACCTCTCCACTGCTAGAACAGATGAGTCGGCATCGTCTATGAGGGAGGCGGCACCGTCTCTGCATTCGACTCTCCAGCCTCTCCCTCCCCGGCAACTTCGATATTGACACTCTCCAAAAACCACCGGGCCTCCGAACCATTTGCTTCTCCTCACTTCTTCTTGACAAAAATCTCCTACACCGACTCCACTGCTCCACTACTCCTTCGGCAGAACTGCTTCTTCCTCCTCTTACTCCAAGCAAGCTCGATCTGTCGGCGGATCTGGGATTACAAGAAGGGAAGTCGTCGATTTGGGACCCCTCTCCCTTATTTTCTTGTCCTCTCTTTTCTTCCTATTTTGGATTTCCCAATTGAAATTACAGGTTTGGAGAGAGCCGAACTGATCAAGGAAGAAGGGAGCAGGAGCTCGCAGCCCGGGTCGGTGCGGTGCCGGGAGAGGAGAGGACAGATGGGGAAATATGGGTTTGAGCAGGCGAGGGAAGTGCGGCAGCGACAGGTAGAAAGGAGTAGAACAAAGGGTTTTCTTTGTACAACAAGATCGTCTCCCGACGCTCTTCCGTCGGCGACTCCGACCAAATCACCCACGACGGTATTTCTTTCGTTTGGCAGATCCAGCCCAGGAAGCCGAAGATCCCGCCGAAATCGTCGCACAACCTAAGGAATCTCCCAGGTGTTTTTGGGCGGAAGTGGAGCTTCTTGGAGATTTGGATCCGCGATTTCGGATCTCATGGTGGGGAAATTGAAGACGTTTACAGGTCGGATCTGTAGCAATGTTTAATTTTTGGCAATCGGGGAAGAGGGGATTAGTGGGACGAGGGGTCTGTGAAATGAGCTTTTATTTATTTTTTCCTGTTTTAATTTTATTAATTTAGATGGAAAATAAATAAAAACTAATATTGAAAATTTTACGTTAGATGCCACATCACCGCTGAAGATGCCACATCAGTGCTGACTAGATTTTCTATTAAAAACTAACGTTCAACAAAACTCAACACTAACATAATCATAGTTCATGACACAAATGGAATATTGGAAACAATAGGACACAAGTGACATTTTCGCGATAGTTCGGGTGTTGTAGTGGTATTAGCCCTTATTTGTTTGTGGGTCTATTAAGAGGTTTGATTTTTGAGTTTGTGGTGAGGGTTGGATGGCAGTAGTAGAAGTGAGAATCATTGAATTAGAATCAATTTAGGGTAAAACTTGCATAGCCATAATTTTCACGTTTGTAACAAATATAGCCATAACTATCCGAAAACACAAAATAGCCAATTTCGTCCATTTCTTTAACGGTGTTACTTAACACTCTGACTAGACTGATGGAAATAATGACCTGACAATACTTCGACGGACACGTGGATTAAAAAAAACGTAAAAAACATAAATTCAATTTTTCTGAGTTAATAAAATGAAAAATAAAATAAATTTTTTTATGCAAAAATCTTCATCTTCCTCCCTGTACCCCCCATACCCGCCACCATTCTTCGGTCCTGCTCCTTCCTCATCGCCCCCTACTCCCATCAATTACCCAGCAGGCAGCAACACAACCCTAAATCGAAGAAGAAGAAAACCCTATGGTTCTTTTGGGTCGTTTGTCGCTGCCATCAACATCATCTTCATCTCTCCAACTACTACAAACCACCACCCGCCCGCCGCCGTGAACAACCGCTCTTCGCAATGGATCCCGCCAAGTATGGTGGAAAGTCGCTGTTCGACCCATCGATGGGTGAGAAACGAAACGGAGCTTCCTTTTCTTCTACTTCTTCTTCTTCCTCCTCGGCCGCCATGGAGAACCTGAATATCATGCTCCTCAGGCTTCGTGGCAGGCTTGTGGGCCTCATCATTCTCCCTTCACCGGCAACGGCTTCTTCTTCGGATCCAATGAATACTCTGTAGAGTAGACTTGGCCAATTAGGGTTTTTGGGGTTTCCCAGTCCCTTATATTCTTCCTCGCCTCATTTTTAACAGAGCTGCGATCCTTTTCAATGCGAGAAAGAAGACGACGGTGAAGGGAAATCCGTCTTCGAAGGGCTGGGCGGGAGAGGAGCTAGAATTGGAGACGGATCCGACCCTTTTTCCTCTTGTCGGTTTGGGAATTATTGGAGCACCCTTCCTCCGACAGAAGAAGATTGGAGAAAGGGGGTGGGATCTGAAGATGGGAAGGGGAAAGTGAAAGGGCACGCTTAATTTGATTCCTTTTTTTTGTTTTTTTTTGTGTGTAAGTGATAAATTATTTAATAGATTAAGAGAAGAGAGGAGAGAGAGAGAGGAAGGATAAATTATTTAATTTATTATTTTAATTCTTTATTGACGTGGCATTCCACGTGTACATTTTTGCTGATGTGTCGCTGATGTGGAGGTCGGATTCCGTCCTCGTCAGCGTTCCGTCAACCGAGTTAACGGAGTCACATATGGTGTTAAAGTTTCTAACGAATTTGGCTAGATTTGTCACACTACCCTCCTTTTTTGGGGCTATTTCGTGTTTTCTAATAGATATGACTATATTTGTCAAAAACGTGAAAATTATGGCTATACAAGTGTATTTTGCCTTATTTTATCAAAAAATAAGAAACATTATTGGCCATATTGTTGGGGAGGGTTTACATGTGAAGGGAACGATTGATACCAAAGTTATAGCAAAATATCATGTTTAAGCAATTGAAAGGTTTCAATTGCCAGCTTTCAATTGCTTAAGCTTCCTATGATAACATCCAGAAAATCATGCTTAAAAAATCTATTTATGAACTAATTGAATGTCACCATAAGCTTAGTATTATTGTGTTGACTGACAATATACCTTGTTAAAAGAGTAAGCATAATTCTTTAATTATCTATCAAAATATCATAACATTTTACTATTGGTAGCATGTCGTTAAATTGCATTAAAATGATCACTCACAACATTAATAAAAAGATGGCAAAATACACTTGTATAGCCATAACTTTCAAGTTTTTGACAAATATAGCCATATCTATTCGAAAACACGGAATAACTCAAAAAACGAAGGGTAGTGTGACAAATCTAGCCAAATCCGTTAGAAACTTTAACACCGTCTGTGACTCTGTTAACTCGGTTAACGGAACGCTGACGAGGACGGAATCCGACCTCCACATCAGCGACACATCAACAAAATGTACACGTGGAATGCCATGTCAATAAAGAATTAAAAATAATAAATTAAATAATTTATCCTTCCCCTCTCTCTCTCTCCTCCCTTCTCTTAATCTATTAAATAATTTATCACTTACACAAAAAAAAAAAAGATAATAAAACAAAAAAAGGGTATCAAATTAAGCGTGCCCTTTCACTTTCCCCTTCCCATCTTTAGATCCTACCCCTCTTCAGATCCCACCCCCTTTCTCCAATCTTCTTCTTCTTCTGCCGGAGGAAGGGTGCTCCAATAATTCCCAAACCGACAAGTGGAAAAGGGTCGGATCCGTCCCCAATTCCAGCTCCTCTCCTGCCCAGCCCTTGGAAGAAGGATTTCCTTTCACCGTCGTCTTCTTTCTCGCACTGAAAAGGATCGCAGCTCTGTTAAAAATGAGGTGAGAAAGAATATAAGGGACTGGAAAACCCCAAAAACCCTAATTGGCCAAGTCTACTCTACAGAGTATTCATTGGATCCGAAGAAGAAGACGCTGCCGACGGAGGCAGAATGATGATGCCCACAAGCCGACCGCGGAGCCTGAGGAGCAGGATATTCAGGTTCTCCATGGCGGCCGAGGAGGAGGAAGAAGAAGTAGAAGAAGAGGAAGCTCCGTTTCGTTTCTCACCATTGAACCCGACCTCCGTAGATGAATTGATTGGGCGAATCTCGAGGATTTGGAGTCGGTAGGTCGAGGGAAAAGAGGTAAAGATCGGATGGGTCGAACATCGGCTTTCCACCATACTTGGCGGGATCCATTGCGAAGAGGGGTTGTTCACGGCGGCGGGCGGGCGATGGTTTGTAGTAGTTGGAGAGATGAAGATGATGTTGATGGCGGCGGCAAACGACCCAAAAGAACCATAGGGTTTTCTTCTTCTTCTTCTTCTAGGGTTGTGTTGCTGCCTGCTGGGTAATTGATGGGAGTAGTGGGCGATGAGGAAGGAGCAGGGCCGAACAATGGTGGCGGGTATAGGTGTACAGGGAGGAAGATGAAGATTTATGCATAAAATTTTTTATATTATTTTTCATTTATGAACTCAGAAAAATGAATTTATGTTTTTTTACATTTTTTGTAATCCACGTGTCCGTCGAAGTATTGTCAGGTCAGCATTTTCGTCAGTCTAGTCAGAGTGTTAGGTAACACCGTTAAAGAGATGGACGAAATTTGCTATTTTGTGTTTTCGGATATTTATGGCTATATTTGTCACAAACGTGAAAGTTATGGCTATGCAAGTGTATTTACTCATAAAATAAATAAATGGATTTTTCTTTGTCATCAAAATTTTAATAAACCAGGATAGCCTTGATATAGACTAGCTTATAACCCGGCCCGTTGGTCGGAATATTCATATTTATATTTTTATGTTACGTTTAAATCTATCAATTCATTTAATTTTAATGACAATCCTTCGATCGAGATGATACATATAGAAAGAATATATAGATCGAACATTTAGAGAAATATATAAATGATAATTAAGTCCCCGGTAAAATGTTATTGGTTAGTTGATTGTCAAGAAAGATAGAGTATAAAAGCTCACGGAAATTCCCTCACGAACCATAGATAATTCGAAACTAAATCTTAAACCTCACAATCCTACATAAAGGTTGTCCCTTCGGGAACATCCGATAAAATTGGAACGCAATCCTACATAATTGTTCAATGCTCTCCTTTTAGGAACAATATGCCACTAATCAAAAAGAAATAGAGAGTTGTTGATTCAAGTCAAATATATGCTAACAACTAAGCTAAGAGGGGACCATCACAACTTGAGAGTAAACGCCAAAATCAGGATTAACTCCAATATACTAATAGACTCGATCAAAGTAATAAGGAACAAAATTGGACACTCCTTCTCTATCAGTTCCAATAGGTTGAAAAAAGAATCGACTTCCTACTTCAGTAAATCAATTGATGATTCCTCATTTAAAAATAGAACTAGGTTGCGATAGCTTCAAAAACCATAAACCTAAAAATCCAATAGCCACCACTCTCCGTTGTACAATAAAAAATTTATCCACTCTATCTTCAATCTCAAGAGGCGTATGTTTCAACCCAAAATTCAATTTTTAATCCTCCTTCTGCACCTCCATTTATTAAATTCCATTATATTCGCCATGGATTGATACCAGAGTTGAACTCTTTTACTTGCCCATTTTAAATCGTCAAGAATAAAATCGTAGTGCCAAGAGACCAGAAGATTGATTTTCAAAGGCGGCTTTAACTGTGAAGTGAAAGGGGCGCAAATATTACACGATGGAGGGAATTTTAGAGGAGGTTAGAAAGAGATAAGAACAAAGATAAAGTACAAATTTAAATATAAATTGAAAAATGCAAGGACACAACACGTGGTAATAGAAAATACATACTGTAGACTTAGTGGGCTTGCTAATCATGATGAAAAAGTCATCTAATTTCCAGAGTGTCACATCGTGTATGTTTTGTATTAAATAAAGATACAAAAAATTGTTTAGTGTGATTGGTTGCGATTATTGTCTTTGTTTGAAGAGACCCAAATTCAAATCCTGATATTTATATTTTTTATATGGAATACATAATGTATTGTAAAGATAAAAATGCCCTTCCTACTTTCACTCTTGTTGCAGGAAATTTGAAAAAGAGAAAAGTAGAAAAAACTCTACTATATATTATTGGAGGACAAGCAATACATCATTAATGGGTTTCAACAAAACCAAATCATCTTCATTTTGTACAGCTACCAGCTCAAGTAAAAATTCACCCGTCTATCGGGCGGGTCCAAAGCTAGTTATGTTAATTTTGTTTTAGATGAGATTCAACTATTATTTATTTATTTTTATTGTTAAATAGATGATGTGGCTATTAAAAATTAACAAGTGGTTGTCGTGGATTAAAGCAATTTTATATTATTTTATTAGTTATTTGGCTACATAATTTATTTAAATGTCAAAAGTAATAGTTGATTGCCACAAAGACGAATTTAATGGAATTAGATAGGTTGTGACTACAATGAAACATGAGTTTAAAATAAGTGACTAGTAATCAACGAAGAATTTGTTAAAGACAAATGTGAAATAATTGATAAACTGAGTGATTACATGTATTTTAGTATTAAGTTATGTATTTGTAAATAACTAGTGTTACCGAGAAATAAAAGATACAATCATACAAAGTCCAACACAACTCAGAGTGATCGAAACCAAGCAACAAAATCAAAACCCATCAACAATGGTAGACTCAATGAAAGAGTTTTCCTTGCCACCAGATGGGCAACTCTATTTCTAGTACGACTAATGAAAAAACAATCGAAATGCTGGAACGTCGAACGGTGAATCTGAACTTCCGTAAGAAGAGCGCCCCCCCACTGCATCATGCACCTCACCATCCATAATCTTCATAAACACCACCTGTGCATCTCCCTGAAAGACGACCGACGCCCACCCTCTATTAGCACACCAACTTGATCAAAGGAAAAAAAAAAAAAAACAGTTGCCAAATGCCACGGATATCATCTTTATAGAGAGCAACTTTAAAAAACAAAACTTTATGCACTATACATATGATAAAATCTACTGATTTGGCTAATCTCACTATCAAATTGTAAAACTCCACTCATATATAACATCATATCCATCTGTAGCTGAGAGAGCAAAGTCTGTGATGTGAGCCAAACATTACAATTTATAAGGTCGATCTTCTGCAACACTAACTTCATATCCATCTTCATGCACTATACAGATAATTAAATCTATCGATTGGTATAATTCATGGTTTAAATAATTCGTGGCCATGATCTTCCATTTCATGGCCTACAACTGAGTCTACAGAACTAAGTGAGAATGTTAGGGTTAGACTGCTGAGAGCCTCGGAGAATATATTGTCAAATTTGGGTCTATTAGATTATATGAGCAATTTAGGACAAAAAATGACACAAATGTAAAAAAAGGAATATCACAACCAAAGGAGCCAAGATCACGACCGAAGAAGCCAAGATCACAACCATGAACTCAGAAGCATAAATTTTACATTAACCGATTTGTCAATAGCCAAAACCTAATTTAATAGAAACCGGAAAATCACTATAACTCGTAATTGAGTCATTGGTTTGGCTCATTGCCAACTATAATACCGTGGAGATCAATTTCTGAATGGGATATACCTCTCTTATAGTATAGTACTGTGGAGATCTTTTTAAGTTTAGCAAAGGACTATAGAGAAGACACCAATAAAAATGAAGAGTAGGAAGAGCCACGACTTGCTTCTTATCTTCATATCCAAAATCAAGAGGGAATAAGATTATGGCCACGAACTCTGATGTCAAGTGCGCGAACTTCAGGAGTAGCCACCAAGGAAGGAGCCGAGAGTCTTGACAGTCTGACTCGCGGTTCTCTTCATCTGTGACTATGATAAAGAGTCTTGTCGTGACATCTCGGATCGCGACCGTCATGTCAGGTCGTGAACTCAACCTTCAGCAAGACGTAAATGGTGACCCTCAAGAAGAGAGGCGGAAACACAACGGGAGCCACTGAATAGTGAGAATGGCACAATTCTGCTGCCCATCTCCGCCGCCGGCGGCCCCAACTTCTATATCGCAGTTCATCTCCGACCAGCCCTACCTCACCCTTCTCGAAACCCACTGCTCAACGATGAAAGACCTTCACAAAATCCATTGCCAACTCATCAAAACCGGCTTATTCAATGACCCAATTGCCGCCAGTCGCGTCCTGGCCTTCTGCACCTCTCCCGTCGCCGGCGATATGAATTACGCTCGCTCCGTTTTCTCTCGCATTCGAAAGCCCAACCTCTTTTCCTGGAACCACATCATTCGAGGCTTCTCTAATAGCTCAAATCCTGAAGTTGCCATCACCCTCTTCGCCGAGATGTTGGTCAATTCGCCCGTCCAACCTTCAAGGCTGACTTACCCTTCCGTTTTCAAGGCCTATTCCCAGCTTGGGTTCGCCCATGAAGGGGCTCAGCTCCACGGCAGAGTAATTAAATCAGGGCTCCAAGATGATCCATTTGTAAGAAACAGCATCTTGTCTATGTACGCGAATTGTGGGTTTTTGAGCGAAGCAGGGAGAATATTTGATCGTCATCCAGATTTTGACCCCGTTACCTGGAACATAATGCTCATGGGGCTTGCTAAATGTGGCGAAATTGAGGAATCCAGGAAGGTATTCGATGAAATGCCTGTGAGAAATGTGATCTCCTGGAATTCGATGATAAGTGGGTATGTGAGGAATGAAAAGTTTGTGGAGGCTTTGGAGCTTTTTGGGCAAATGCAAGAAGATGCTGAGGTTAAGCCGAGTGAATTCACGATGGTGAGTTTACTCAATGCCTGCGCTTGTTTGGGTGCAATCAGGCAAGGAGAATGGATTCATGATTACATTGTCAAGAATAGTTTTGAGTTGAACCCAATAGTTGTGACAGCCATCATAGATATGTACTGCAAGTGTGGGAGTATAGACAGGGCCCTTGATGCTTTCAAGACGGCTCCTAAGAAGGGATTGTCATGCTGGAACTCCATGATCCTAGGCCTGGCCACGAATAGTCAGGAGAAGAATGCGATCAACCTATTCAGGAAGCTTGAATCATCCTCGTCTTTGGATCCCGATTTCGTCAGTTTCATCGGGGTCTTGACAGCTTGTAATCACTCTGGCTTGGTGGACTCGGCAAAGGAGTATTTCTCACTGATGACAGAAACTTACAATATAAAACCCTCAGTACAGCATTATAGCTGCATGGTTGATGTGCTTGGCGGAGCTGGGTTTCTGGAAGAGGCAGAAGAGCTCATCAAAGGAATGCCAATTCCTCCAGATGCCATCATATGGGGATCTTTGCTATCTTCCAGCACAAGATTTGGGAACGCTGAGATGGCGGAAAGAGCAGCAAGGCAGCTCAATGAGCTGGATCCAAGCCAAACTTCGAGTTTCGTGCTCATGTCCAATGTTTATGCTTCCTCTGGTAGGTACCAGAAAGCTATCGAGCAGAGAGTTGTTCTCAAACAAAAGCAGATTGAGAAAGTTCCTGGGTGTAGTTCGATTGAACTGAATGGCAAAGTACATGAGTTTGTAGCTGGTGGAACGTTGCATCCAGCCGCTGCAAAGATCTATCATGCTTTAGATGAAATGCTATTACAGCAAAACGAATAGGATTGGTAACACAATTATGTGGATATAACCTGATCAAGCATTCCATGTTGCTAACTGTTTTGGTTGCTTAATGAGAGATTGGGCACTGAGATGGAGGGAATCAAACGTAGGCCAGCCCTTTCCCACCTTAGTAAGGGGTGGGATTTGGTCGGTAAACAATTTACCGTTTACCAAATTTATCGGTTTCGGTATATCGAAGTTGGCCAAACTGGTTACCGATTACCGATACCGGTTTGTAACCGGTTTACCGATTACCGAATTACCGGTAAACGGTTACAAACCGGTATTACCGAAATTTTGTGAGAAGCGATTTCGGGCGGTTTTTTGATCGGTTTACCGAATATTTATCGAACCGAATTTCTGGAAGTGGGGTGATGTTGTAATATTTTGATTTTTTGAGTTTTTTTCATCATTTTTGTAATTAATAATTTATTATTAACTCTTATTTACAATATTTTTGAGGCCTATACTTACATGTATGTAATATTTTATATTTGTGAATAATGATGTATATGTTATATGTTAATGCCTTAACTGGTCCGGTATCGGTATTACCAAATTACCGTCGGTAAATACCGAGCCTGTGTCTGGTAAATTGGATTGTCGCCACGCGCAACCGGATACCGATACCGACGATAATCGGTTTACCGTTTACCGAAGGTTACCGGTTCGGTAAAACGGTAAACCGGTTACCGGGTTACCGTTTGTCAGCCCTACACCTTAGGGCTTGAAATGTTCTGAATCAAACTTTCTGGGCACTGTTCAAACGATCAATGGAAAGTAAAAACAAATAGAATTGGTCTTAGAAACTTGTTTCCCCATAAGAAGAATTTTACAATGCTATATAGCATTTGTGCTATGGGTTTTTGTCTTTATGGTACAGCTTGAAATTGTACCTTTAACGTAATGGTACAACTTCAAATTGTACCTATACTTTTTGTGCAAATTCTCTTATGATACAACTTGAACTTGTACCTTTATGTGATTAGCAATTTGATAGAAATTAGAGATTAAAGGAAAAAAAAGATACTTGAATAGAGGAAATTCAATACCTTGAAGTTATGGTCACTTGGTGTTTTTGATTTGCTATAACAGGTTTCACAAGTCGCATTACGTAAAATACAATAGGCATTACGTAATGGTTACGTAATGTGTGTTTATCTTACGTAATAGTTGAAAAATGTCATTACGGAAACCTTACGTAATAGACACTCATTTTACATAATGAATATTAACCTTTCGTTACATAGTATGTTGAATTAGAGGAGACAATTATCAATCCAATCCGCCAATCCAATCCACAAACCCATTAAAAATATCCACCTAATCCAATCCATTCAGCAGAATAGTTAAACCAACCAGCCAGACTCCCTCTCAACAAAAAGATCAGATACTAGACTTCATCGGAGTCCTCATCGGAGCTGTAATCCACTAGCAATCCAACAACTATTGGAGCAAGCAGGGGAGCGCCATCATCTGAGTTGTTATCCTCGGAATACTCACCATCCAAGTCATCTGTCGAGGCACCTCCATCACTATCTTCATCATCTGCACCCCACCCCCACCCCCTCAATTGCAATCTCACACTCATCAAGGACTTGATATGTCAGCATGAGAAAAGTGGGATTCTCGGTGCGAAACGAAGTGATAGAGACACCAAGTCGAATTGCAAGTCGAGTGATCAGTGGTCCGAGAGGCAAGGGACCGGGTAGGAGGAATTAGCATAGGTGAGAAACACCCCAAATATAAGAGTGGAATAGTTGAGAGGAACGTTCCACACAACATGAGCCATGATCCACAGATCTAGATGGACAATAAGATAAAGGGCCTGGGTTCGGGGCAAAAAGATCCTCGTAATGTCGAAATGCAGGACTCGCAGATGGGGGAGAACAAGATTAACAGGTAAGGAAAGATCAGGACCAGGATGGAGACCTGTTACACCCCGGTCTTTTTAAACATCAAAATGACTATTATACCCTTGGATTAATGTGTCAGTTTCCACCATAATATCGATAAGGATTAAAGATGTGAACTTTCGGTGCAAGCGGTGCCGAATTTCGATATAAAACGACAAAGTTATGAACGTAGTGGGTTTGGAGGTTAAACCAAGACCCAGTCAAAGAACTGGGCCAAGGAGCCTGGGTTTTTTTTTCTTTGGGCGGCCACTGTGGTGGGCTTAAGCTCAGTTGGAGGAAAAAGGCTGTTAAAAGAGTTGAGGGAGAGGAGGGTTTGGCCCGAGGCCCAACCTGATCATTTAAGAAAAAAAAAAAAAAATTGAAAGAGCTTAAGCCCATTGTGCGAAGGAAAGAGGGAAGAGGGTTGTGTGGTTGGTGGCTGAAGTGGAACGAAGAGGTGGGCTCTAGGCCCAAACGGGGAGGAGACATGAAAAAAAAAAGAAGAAGAAAAAAAAAAAAGACGGGCTAGGCCCAAGGGAGAGGACCAGACGAGGAAGGAGAGGGGAATCGTCGTTCCTTTGCTACGTCGATCGGGGAGCTGAAACAGAGACGGAACGGCAGCGGGAAGCTCGTCGGGAAAACGTGCGTAACGGAAAGAGGCTGCAGGTGTTCAATTTCGGCGATTAATTGGAATTGAATGGGGGATTTAATTGGGGTAATGGAGCTTGTTCCTCGGTTACAAGAGAATCAAGCAAAAGGGGAAGAGGGCAAAGTGGAAGGAGGAAGAGGTTCTCTCTGTTTTCGGGTAACAAAACAGAGGGCGAATTGAAGGGAGAAGGAGACGACTGGCGTAGGGTTGTCGACGAATTGGGAGTTTGGTATGGAGGGGTCGACGCGAGCAGAAAGAGGAGCGAGGTGGATCCGAACGAGGGTAGTGGCTCGGGGACGCAAGAAGAAGGTCGGGGGCTCGGTGACGACGAGAAGTGATGTGGTTGATTCCGACGGCAGCTGGACGAGGGACGAGTTAGAAGCGACAGTAAGGTCGCGTGAAGATCCTCCCAAGCGTCCGAGAATTTGGGCTGTTCGGAGATGGCCTCCGAATTGCGGCGGGAGAAGTAGCGACGGGCTTAGCGGCGGTGAGAAGCTTCACTCGCCGACGGTGGCAAGCGAGGCTTTGCCCGAGGAAGAAGAAGAGGAGCCGGAGGAATGTGATTGTTGTGGGTTCGGGGATCGAGCGGTGGACGACGTCGACGGTGGCCAGAACCCCGACATCGACGGCGATGTAGAGGTGAGTGTCCTCCTGTGTTTTTGGAGGTCAATGGCATCCAGTTGAAAATTTGATAAATAGTTAGGGGCGTATAGGTCTTTTTGGAATTGGGGAAATTTGGTTATGTTAATAAGTTTGAGTGCCGTAACGTAATTGACCAGGCCTTGGGGTGGGTTGCAATGAGTGAATATTTGGGTACCAGATTGAAATAGGCCATTTGGACTAAAATGTTTAAATCAGGAAGTGGAAATTGGCCTGGAGGGCTGAATTGTGCAATTCTGGAAGTTGGGGGCCGAGTTGGTAAAAGTCAGGAGTTCGGTGTACCATTTTGTAATTCGCCATTTTGGGGCAAAAAGGTAATTTTCCAGAATTTTGCGGGGAATCCTAGGAAAGATTAAATGGAGGAATTTGGGATTGGAATCAACCAAATTTGAGGTCGTTTGATTAGTTACGTTCGTAGAAAGGAATATTAAGTTTTGCCTAAATACTTAATAGGAGGATTTGCAAAAGGAGATGTTTGGGCGTGGAATCTCGGACGATGGCATGGATCAACCGGCAATAAAGAGGGGTCGTTTTGATCGGTCAGGGTCGGCTAATAAGGTGAGTGTAAAGGGGGTAAAATCTCCGTCGAGGTCTTTTAGTTTATGCCTTTTTAATTCAGTTATGTTATTTAATTTTCAAGTAAGCGCGATTGTGTGTGTGAGGTATCCCACCGCCTACTTAAGGTGGAGGCACGCGTTGTGCTATGTATGTGTGTGTTTATGATGTATGGTTGATGGTATGAGGAACCCCCGGGCGGTTGGGCCACTACTGGACGCGGTAGATGGTCGGGTCACTACTGGACGGCGATACGTAACGCAGTAGTTGATCGGGTCAAGCAAATTAACAATCAAGAAAAGGAAGCAAAGATAAAACATGACAAGGAAAGAAAAAGAAAACAGAGGAAATCAATTAATTACGAAACAAATCCTTGAGATTCTCAAGGGATCGCAGACCTAACTCATAACACCGGAATACAAAGCGATCAGTTGCAAACGGTTTAGTGAACAGGTTTGCAAGTTGAAACTCAGTAGAAATGTATTTGAGATAAATGATGTTCTCAACCACTAATTCACGAATGAAATTATATTTTATCTCTATATGCTAGGTTCGTGAATGTTGAACAAGATTCTTTGTCATGCAAATGGCACTGGTATTATCGCAAAATAAAGGAATAGAGTTGATGAGCATACCGTAGTCTCCAAACGGGTTTTTGAGCCATAAAAGTTGTGTACAGCAGCTGCCAGCTGCAATGTACTCTGCCTCGGCAATCGAGAGAGCTACTGCTCCTTGTTTTTTGCACGACCAAGATACTAAGGAGGTACCTAAGACTTGACAAGTACCACTAGTGCTTTTCCTATCCGTTAAACTACCCACAAAATTTGAGTCACTGTACCCCATCAAACCGAACTCATTGTCTCTAGAGTACCAAATTCCTACATTTGCTGACCCTTTAAGATATCTAAAAATACATTTGATAGCTGAGAGATGACTCTTCTTAGGATTGGCTTGAAAATGAGCAAACAAGCAGACACTATGTTGAATGTAGGTCTACTTGCTGTTAGATCCTATCATTCCTCTAAATTTCTTTTCATCGACTGCTACCCCTTGCTCATCTTTATCTAACTTCAGGTTAACAGCCATGGGAGTAGGACTAGTATTAGCATGTTCCATCTCAAATTTCTGTAACATGGTGTGAACATACTTGGTTTGGCTAATAAAAATTCCTTGCTCAGATTGTTTGATTGAAGTCCTAGAAAATACTGCAACTCACTCAGCATACTCATTGCGAAGACAACTGTCATAGATTCACAGAACTCTGAACATATAGTAGGATTTGTAGAACCAAAAACAATATCATCTACGTAAATTTGCACGACAAGCATGTTAGAGGAGGATCTTTTAATAAATAAGGTATTGTCAACAGACCCCTGAGCGAAATTCTGCTCTTTAAGAAAACTGATCAGCGTATCATATCAAGCTCTAGGAGTTTGTTTAAGACCGTAAAGAGCTTTGTTTAGCCTGAAAACATGATATGGAAACTGATAATCAACAAAGCCAGGAGGTTGAGCAACATATACTTCCTCTTGGATTATGTCGTTCAAGAAAGCACTTTTCACATCCATTTGATATAAGGGAAACTTCATATAACTAGCAAAAGCACACAAAAGACGTATAGACTCAATACGAGCTACTGGGGCAAAGGTTTCTTCGTAGTCTATTCCTTCTTCTTGGCAGTAACCCTGAGCAACTAATCTAGCTTTGTTTCTTATGATCTGCCCTTCCTCATCAGTTTTATTTCTATAGACCCACTTAGTTCCTATGATCGTCTTTCCTATGGGTCTAGGGACCAGTTTCCAAACATTCAAGTAGCTAAACTGAGTGAGTTCTTCTTGCATGGCAAGATTTCACTTTTCATCATTTAAAACCTCTCTAATATTCTTGGGTTCTACTTTGGACACAAAAGCATACTGACCAGGGGTATATTTACCTCGAGTTTTGCGTCCCTCATTTATGCTTCCAATGACTTGAGTTTGAGGATGACGCTTTTGAATATGTGGAGGTGCTTGAGGTAGGTCAGTCCCACTATCATTATTTGTAGTCCCTGATGCTATGGGAGCAGCATGTTCTGTCGTAGTGTTGGTATTTGTGATCAATTCAGAGTTGTTCCAGTCACGTTATGGTTTATGTCATGAAGCAGATTCGAGAGATCTACCAGGACAGTTCTTGTCTTAGATGCTTCATAAAGAGGATTAGTTTCATAAAAATGACATGTACTGACTCCTCTACCTTTTTGGTATGCTTATTATAGATTCTGTATGCTTTCCCTTTTAAGGAATAGCCCAGAAAATGGATTCGTCTGACTTAGCATCAAACTTTCCAAGGTTATCCTTAGTGTTTAGGGACAATCGTCTACTTCCAAATGGATGAAAGTAAGCTATATTTGGTTTTTTATCCTTTAAAACCTCATAGGGAGTTTTATTCAAGTGTTTGTGAATTAAAACTCTGTTTGTCACATAGCATGTTGTGCTCACGGCTTCAGCCCAAAAGAACTTAGGAAGGTCATAGTCCAGGAGCATTGTTCTGGCTGCTTCTATGAGGATTCGGGTTCTCCTCTCAACTACTCCATTTTGTTGAGGAGTACAAGGAGCTGAAAACATATGGTTAATACCATTTTCCTCACAAAATTCAGCAAACTCATCTGAAATGAACTCTCCTCCATTGTCACTTTTAACTGCCTTGATATCACTATTCAGTTTAGTAAAGGTTCTGAATTTTGACACAGTTTCATTCTTGTAAGTAAGAAAGTAAACCCAGGTAAAACATGAAAAGTCGTCTACCAAAACAAAAGCATAATTCTCCCCCCCCCCCCCAAGACTAGTCACATTGCATGGGTCAAAGAGGTCCATGTGAACTAAATGAAAAGGTTTTGTTGAAGTGATGTCAGATTTGGACTTAAAAGGTTTCCTTGAGTGCTTTCCAGCAGCACAGGCTTTACAAAAGAAATCAGTTCTTTCTTTTAGCCTAGGAATACCCCAGACATCATCTGACTTTGAGAGACAAGCTAATTTTTGAAAGTTTATGTGACCAAGCTTCTTGTGCCACAACATTTCCTGATAGCAGGTAAGAGACACAAAACAAGTTTCATTGAAAGCATCAAGATTTTGGAAATCTATGACATACATATTGTTTATGTGTTTTCCAATAAACATAATTTGATTGTCTTTGAGTCTCTTTACTAAACAGTGTGATGCTTCAAATATGACTCTATTACCACTACTGTAGAGTTGACTTATTGACAACATATTATGTTTTAAGCCATCAACAAAGAGCACATTTCTGAAGGAAGGGGATGGTGCCTTTCCAATGGTTCCTCTGCCAATTATAGTACCACAATTGTCATCACCAAAGTACACTTTCCCTTTTGTTTTAATTTTAAGAGAAGAGAAAATAACTTTTTTACCAGTCATATGATGCGAGCATCCGCTGTCAAGGTACCATTCTTGTTGACTATCTTCTTTGGATTCTCATGAAGTAGCCTGAAATGAAATTTCTTCTGAATTGTCTCCCATTCTGACCATATATGCTGTTTCATGGTGTCCTTCATATTCGGAGTCAATTTCATAATCGCTCCATGAAGCTTTCATTGCCTTTTTCTTTGCTTTAAAGGTCCGAGGGCAGTGAGCCCTAATGTGCCCCATCTTCCCACACTTATAACATGCTTGAGGTTCTCTCTCAGCACTGTCTGGGAATCTTTCCAGTGGAACAATTTTTCTATAGAAGTACTTTTGAAACGATTAGCTCTGTTAGTATTAGAAAACCGTATATTGGAAACACTAGACCTGGTATTGTTCTCCTGATTACGATTGAAATTGTTTGAAGGACGAAAACCAGTTTCACGACTAGATGATCCAAACCTGTTTCTATTTTCATGACGCCTTTGATTCTTATCATTTCTATACTTCAGCATACGTTGGTATTGTTTAGTGATCAAGGAAAATTCCTTCTCGAATTCAAAGTCTTCCTCATCATCAGATTCATATCCACTGACATGAGATCTAAAGGCCAGACCCTAAGTTCTTTTGTCATTTCTAGACTCATAATCATTGACTCGAGACTGAAAAGCCAGATTTTTCTTCCTCATATCTTTGTCTTTTCCTACTTGTCTAACAACATGCTCATGACTCATCAAGGAACCAATTAATTCATCAACATCTAAGCTATTCAAATTTTTAGCCTCTTCTATAGCGGTTCTCTTAGGTAACCACTCCTTAAGAAGGGATCTTAAAATCTTCCTAACCAAGTCTTTGGATGAAAAAACTTTGCCTAATCCCTTCAGCTAATTCGTTAGACTAGTAAAACGAGAATACATGTCATGAATACTTTCACCTGGAAGCATATCGAAGACTTCATACTCGTGAAGAAGAAGATCGATCCGAGTCTCCTTGATGTTTGAAGTTCCTTCGTAATGGCTTCTAAAGTGTCCCAGATCTCCCTTGCGGTTTTGCATTGCTCGACTTTGTCGATTTCTTCTGGTGACATTGTAGTTAGAAGGATATGCATTGCTCAGCAATTCAGCTACGCACTCTTCATCTGTGCATCTGTCCACCCATCTTGCCGATCCATATCGATTTCTCTTGGTCCATCTCGAACAACTTTGCATAGTTTTGTATCAATTCCCCACAAGAAGGTTTTCGTACGCTTCTTCTAGGCATTGTAATTTGAGTCGGTGAACCATGGAGGATTGTTGTGAGAAGCAGGGCCAAAAGTTGAGTGAGAATTGGTCGCCATGGATCGATTTACCCTTGGTGGTGATGAACCTCCTCAAGGGCAGGCTCTGATACCAATTGTAAAAGGAATCAGGGTGGACTCAATTAGGGATTCGAAAGTGAACTAGAAAGAACAATCAAAGGGAATGAACAGGGAAGAAGACATAAAAACAATTGATCTTGCGAAGAGTTTTCTGTCTTGACACTTCTGTTGGGCTTTAAAGGAGCGGGCCCAAATAATTAATAAGAACAAATATTAGAATAAATGGCTAGCCCAAGACAAGGCCCAACTGTTTCTATCTTCTTCTTCCTTCAACTGTTCTTTATCAAAACAGAGCAGGTGAAGAAACAGAGCACGAAGAGAAGCTCAGGAAGACAGAAGAATTAAAAGGAGATTGTAGAAAGGTAAAGGGACGCGAAGTTTTTTAATGTGGTTCACCTAGGTGCAATGGCTACGTCCACATCCCAAAGATCAACATTTGCTGTCTTTCGGAAAGTTTATTAGAGAAGAGAAAACAATGCTAAACACACAGAAATCGAGCACTCGTGATTCCAAATCCAGAATCATTTAAATTCCCTTACAGCCTTGTCTGTTCATAACCTATACACCTAACAAAGACAAGCCCTTTGATCCCAAAAAGCCCTATACCGCTTTCTACCTTCGCCTGATTAAAGTTACTTCAAACAAAGAACCAGAATCCCTTAAATAGACACAACAGGAAGATGACCGTTGAAAGATGCTTCCTGTTGATTGGAGCCAAATCCCGAGTCTGTACGTTGGAGATTTCTTGACATCTGGGACTTTCCATAACTGAACCATCAATCTCCAATTTCTTCCAACAATATATACTTTGCTTATTTCATTAGATATATAAAGAAAGTTAATAAGAAAAGTTTTGCTAAATTCTATTCTCTCTATTCTCTCAATCCTCTAAATCTCATATCTCCTCTCCCTAAAGGTCGACAATCCTTCCCTGCTATTCTTAGCCAATTTCTGCTTCAAATTCTTTACTCTTCAATTATGTACTCCCCAAATCTCTAATTATATTTTCTCAATCCCTATTTTAGTAATATTTTTCTCTAATACTTATATTTTTTCGGTAGAAATTCACATTTTTTTGTCATAGAAACCCTTGCAGATTAACTAGTTAAGCACGAAATAGCCACAATACAAGTGCTTCTTCATGAAATGATAGTCAAAGCAAATAAGAACAATTGAAACGAACACTACAAGAGCCAAAGTAGCATAAGGCATTACGTGCCACAGCATGGGCAGCCCGATTCGCTTCTCTAGGAGTTAAAGCAACAGATACTAGCGGCAGTTCTTGCAACAAAATGATGACTCCTCGTAAGATAGCTCCCACATGGGCATTGTTGGCATCAGAAGTCGTCAAATGTTGTACAACTGCAAGAGCATCACTTAGTGATATCATAGCCTTAGTTCCACTATGAGTTATTTGCATCTCTAACTCGGGGAAATTGTTCACGCTTTGAAGGAAAAGCTCGTCCAAGTGAACAAAAGGAACCGGAGTCATCTGTGCTTGCCTCGTCTCCCCACCAATTCCACCAAACACCGAAGTGGCTGCCAGACAGCAACCTCCTTCCATTGCTCCATGCATACAGCCATCGTCATCGCACTGCTATGATCAATACCACCATAGGATTCATCTTTCATCTCTGCCACCCTAGTGTGCCCTGTGAGTACTGAGTAGGGCTGTTCAAACGGAGTGGTTACCGTGGTAATCATTTTAATCGATAGTATTTGGATAATTGGTTTTGTTTGGTTAAATTTTTTAGCTTGTTTGGTTTAGGTGGTTTGGTTTCATATACTCATATCCAATGAAACCAAATTAACCAGTAAAATAATTAGCTATATATCTAATATGTATTATACAAACATAATAATTTGCATAACCAGTTTTATGTGTTTATGTGAAGGATTAACTATAACTATGTGTTGATTGTTATATTTTATTCATTATATAAATTGTGAATTGATGCATTAGTCGAAAAAAGTTCTCACTTAAAGAGAATGTGATGTTAGATTGGTTAATCTGGTTAACCAATTAACCTAGCCGATTAAACTTTAGTTTAGTTAATTTGGTTGTGGTATTATTTTGGAATGTTTGGTTATGATATTGTGTTCCATGGTTAATAGAATTTAGGCTTATTTGATTTGGTAATTACCATGCTAACCATATGAACACCCCTACTTGTGAGGTCGCCTTCAACAACTTCGTGGATATTTTTTGGCAAGCATTGGTAGAATTCTTGGCCTCGAAGAAGTCTACAGTACAAATTACTACGAACGACAAGATGAGGTAGTTGTTTTTCAGTTCTAGACAATTACGATTGAATTTTTTCCTCTCGCACTCACACAACGAAAACACATCTATGGGTGTTGGAAGTTCATTGCTGGAACTTGAGTGTGGAGGACAAGGAAGAGTGATCGAGTTTTGAATTGGAAGTACATGAAGAAGTATGAATTTTTTTCCCTCAAGAATCCTAAGGGGTGGATTGATAGAAACTCAACGATCAACTATTATTTTCTCTTAAATTGAACTTCGGTTTGTGTTAGAAAATTGGAGTCTGTGGTCTATCCATTAGAGGTTAGGTATAGTATCATACCCCAAACTCAGTTTAATTCATGTCTAGATAGATAAATCATAAATGTCACTTGGAGTATATGGAGCGTACTATACATCAGGAGCACACGAGTCTATATATATATATATTTTTTTTTTAATAAAGGGAGGCCAGGGATGACCAGAAGGATTACAAATTCACAAAGAAAGGGTTGCACAACCGCAAGGCCCTGAGAAATCTAAAGGGGAACAAAACAGAATAAACCAGAGTAAGATGGGTCGGAGCCAACGCCTCTAATGAACAAGCCAGCGTTTAGGGGAGAAGAACTACCGCCCCTAATGAACAAGCCAGCGTTTAGGGGAGAAGAACTACCGATACCAATCATCCGTAGGAAACTAACGCCCACAACATCATACAGGAGAATCTTGTTCAAATATTGATAACGATGTAATTGCACATGTTTGCGCCCCTAGTTCTTATCCGTTTGAGGGGTATAGTCGTGTGTTTTGGCCTATTTTACGCCGGGTTGTGCTGTTTTGTCATATTTCAGGTCCCAGGCGTCAAAGGGAAGGCTAACCACGAGTTTCGGGGCATTCGGAGGTCATTTCGTCAAGCTGGGGCCAAAACACGGGCACACCTATGGCATTACACGGCCGTGTTCCTGTCGCCGTGCTTTTTATGCCGAGAGCTGAGCTGATTACACGGGCAGGGCCGAGACAAAGCACGGCCGGATTCAATCATTACACGGCCGTATCCAACGCGAAGCACGGCCGTGTTTCCTCCCAACTGCTGGCCGTGTAATTAACCTTGGCCGAGACACGGGCGGACTCAGGCAAAGCACGGCCGTGCCCTCGACCGTGCTTTGGCCACTGATGCCTTTGTAAGCAGATTTTCAGCCAAACAGAAGGGGATTCGAGTTTTAGAGAGAGAGATCAGTTCCTAGAGAGAGAAAGAGACGAACAAGAGTCTCCAAGTGCCCTAGATTGATCTTCAACACCATTGGAGGCCAGCTTGAGCTTGGAGAAGTGCCGATCAACATCCAGAAGCAGGAATCCATCCTTCACAGTATGAATTCCGCGTCTGATTCTGCTTTTGCTTCTTTCTCTATGGAGTAGTTCTCCCATTCATCTGGGTATGGAGAACCCTAGATTTGTATGTTAGGCTTTGATTGTATGAACCCAAGTACTGATTCTATGATTTGATTATATTGGATTGAGGTTTGAATGATTGAATGACTTGAATCCTGATCAAATTCCTGTTGTTTCTGCTTTGACCTAGAATGAGAATATCTGCCTAGGTTAATAGAGTATCCTTGATTGAAGGTAGGGAGTTGGTGACTTTATTCGAGGAACCAACTCACTATTCTGTACCGGATTCACTTCGGTAGTGGAGGTTTTGTTCTTAGGGCCTCAATCTGTCTACTCCGGTGGAGGTTAGTCGCCCGCTAGAGATTCAGATTGAGAGGGTCTGAAGACCTTTAGTCGAGACTTCAGGCTGTTTAAGAATCTTCCGCAGTATAACTTTCATAGAAACTGAACTTGGTAATTACAATCCGGCATAACTGCAGTATAGGGGGAACCATATCCGGGTGACCTCTCTTAACCTGAATACAACCGTTTACTTGCTTTGTTAGTTTGTTAGTTTAGACTTGCATTAAAGTTTCATTGCTAGATAACAAGAATTCACTGAGTAGTCATCAAATCTAGGACCCGGGTTGATAATTAAACCCAAACCCGCTATACTACGCTTTAGGAAGTGGTTTCACTTGGCCAATTCCTGGAGTGACAGTAGAGTCGAGTCAAGTTTTTGGCGCCGTTGCCGGGGACGGCTAGGTTGTTGAAGAAAAGTGATTTCTGTTAATTTAGCTTTTCTTTTTGCTTTTTTTGCTTTGTCCCACTTGTGCCTTCACGGGTTTGCTTGCTTGAGTGTGTGCAGGTAGTGCATGACCCGTAGCCAGTCAGGAGGTTTACTGCCGTTGAATCCAGAGATTGAACGCACCTGTCGCCAGCTCAGGAGACAACAGCAAGCTAGACTGGCTACGGAAGAGCGCATAGACGGCCACGTGAGCAGTGATTCTGAGGAGGAGTACGAGATGGAAGACTACAAGCAACACCAGGGGAATCCTTAGCAGGCTCCCCCGGTGAATAGGGTCCTGGGGAACAACCCCATACCCCAGGATCATGGAGTTCATCATCCACCGCAGCCGGGTCCCACCTTGGAGTACTACTACACTCCGCGGATTGCTGACATCCGCCCGGTCATCCTCTACCCGCCTATTCCAGCAAATAACTTCGAGATCAAGCCATGCTGGATTCAGCTCATCACATCCTCTATCCAGTTTCATGGCTTGAAAGATGAGGAGGCCAGGGTACATCTTTCCCGTTTTCTGCAGCTGCCGAACGGGTTCAAGCTGAATGGTGTCCCGGATGATGCAATCCGCCTTCATCTTTCCCCCCATTCTCTGGCGGGGAATGCTAAGAGGTGGTTGGAGACCCAGCCCCCATTGTCCATCACCTCTTGGGACGATCTGGCTGACAAATTCGTGCACAGGTACTATCCGGCATCGAAGACTACAGAGATTCAGCGGGAGATCACTCACTTCCGCCAAGAGCCAGATGAGTCACTTCGTGATGCTTGGGAGCGGTACATGGGATATTTCTGGCAGTGCCCCCATCATGGCTTCAGTGATGCATTCACAGCGAGGAACTTTTATAGTGCCCTCTCTCCAGATAGCCAGAGAGTGATTGAGTCTCTATGCCCAGGAGGGGATGTCCTCACTAAGACTCCACCCGAGCTGAACCAGATGATTAATACATTGGCTGCCAGAGATCATTCCTGGGGGCAGAGCAGCAGAGGCAGCCCTACCAGGCTCGACAGGGGCCAGTTCCACAGCAGCAGCCCTACCAGCCTAGGCAAGGGCAAACCTTCCAGCAGCCCCAGCGCTAGTTTGTCGAGCCAGCAGCAGCTCCAGCTCCAGATACTCAGATGACGAAGCTGGAAAATATTCTGGCTTCATTCATGACGAGCACTCAGGCGACTATCACGAGGTTGGACTAGAGTGTAGCCTCACTGGAGGCAGGTAAGAGGAACCAGGGTGCCATTTTGCAGTATCTGCAGACCCAGGTGGGCATCTTGGCCCGCCAGAACACCACCAGGGCACTGGGGACTTTGCCTGCCACCACTGTCCCGAATCCTCGGGATCCTCACCAGCTCCAGCAGCTTGATGCCATCACTACCAGGAGTGGCAAGACCACATCAGCTGCTCCTGCCCAGCCCAGTCGAGATGATCCACTACCTGCTTCAACACTTCTAGCTGATACTGCAGACGTGGGGGAAGACACAACAACGCCTGCTCCCAAGCCACAGCTAGTGGTTAAGGAGCATGTACCCCAGCTTCCTTTCCCCACTCGCCTGCATAAAGACAGGCTGGAGACTGAGTTTGCCAAGTTCATGGCAATGTTGAAGCAGGTCAACATCAACATGTCGTTCGTGGAGGCACTGTCAAAGATGCCCAAGTATGCCAAATTCATGAAGGACCTCCTCACCAACAAGAAGAAACTTGGGGATCTTTCGACAGTGATGCTGAGCAAGGAGTGTTCTGCCATCCTGCAGAACAAGCTGCCCGAGAAGCGAAAAGACCCAGGGAGTTTCACTATCCCTCTTGTTATTGGCAGCATGCATGTAGGAAAGTCCTTGGCGGACCTAGGCGCTAGCATAAATGTCATGCCTTATAATCTGTTTAAGAAGCTAGGCCTAGGTGAACCTAGAACTACTAGGATGAGCATTCAGTTAGCTGATCGTTCTATCGTGCATCCTAGGGGTATCATTGAGGACTTGCTTGTTAATGTGGGTGCATTCACATATCCTATTGACTTTGTTATTTTGGATATAAATGAAGATGTGGATGTACCTTTGATTTTAGGTAGACCGTTTCTCGCCACCGCCAAGGCGCTTATTGATGTGCATAGTGGTAAATTAATTCTGCGTGCTGGTGATGAACAGGCTACTTTTTCTGTGTCTGAGAATGGGAAACACCCTCATTTGCATGATGACATAGACTACTGTGATATGCTTGCTGATTATGAGACCGCACTCGCTATCACGAGTGCGGGTACTGACGATGTTCTTGAGCGTTGTATTTTGCTAGGTGAGCACGCATCGCAGGAGCCGCAGCTGGCGGAGCAGTTGGCCGAGTTGGAGAGTGGCCCTTTCTTGGAGGGCGACAGGCTGTTTAAACCGATCTCATCCTCCACCCGCATCGCTACTTCCTTGGAGGAACCACCAGAGATGGAGCTTAAGCCCCTCCCTCCTCATTTGGAGTATGCATTTCTCCGGGAGGGGAATAAGCTGCCAGTCATCATCAGCTCGA